CGTGAAACCAGAAGAATTAAAAAAAAAATCCAATGGTGAAAGAAAACGGTCATTAACAATGAAGACCCCAACAAAATATCTAACTGGCGACACAATAAGAAATTACAAACTGGCTACTTGACCGTGTCATATCCCACCTTCTGTGCACTCTAACCAGGCATGCCCCCAGTGCATAACCAAAGGGAATATTTCCAGTAGGTGAGAACACATCTGACACTGACTACCTCCTGTTGTGTGCAACATGTGTGAAAGCGCAACTCCCAACAAAGTCGAGGCCTGATTCCACAGACGTGTGAAAATGCCTTAAGACAAATCACCAACCATTACTCAGTGGCTATTGAAAGTTGAAACTTTTGTGATTTAAAATAAATTAATCAAGGATTTGGTTTTAGCATCCAAAAAAACTACAGCTCCCATGAAATAAAACTTTTAATAATATCTATAAACTTACTAACACACTTTCCTTCAGTCATTTATTCAAGCATTATAGTTATAACACAGTGCCCAGTCCTCTCTGTCCTTCTGTTATTTCATCCATGGTCTGAATGCACTGCAATCCCTCAACTCACCTCTTTTGTTGAGCTATGACATTTAGCCTGCAAATTTTAAGGCTTATGGGGAATACAATTGGTCAGCCACAACATTAAAACCTGGTTGAAGGAGACCTATCGAGGGGTAGGATATATTACTATATGCAGCAAGTGAACAGTCCATTTTAGAAGTCGACATGTTAGAAGCAGGAAAAAGGGGTAGTGTAAGGATCTGAGTGACTTTGACAAGGGTTAGATTGTGATAGCTGGATGACTAGTCAGGGGATCTCCAAAACAATGTCTTGTGGTCAGTGCCATGGTCAGTACCTACAAAAAGTGGTCCAAGGAAGTACAACCAGTGTACCGGCAACAAGGTCATGTATGTCCAAGGCCCACTAATGTGCACTGGGAGCGAAGGCTAGCTCACCTGGTACCATCTCATAGAAGAGCTAGTGTAGCACAAATTGGTGACAAACTTAATGCTGGCTAATTTGGACAGGTGTCAGAATGCACAGTGCATTGCAGCTCACTGCTTATGGGGCTGCATAGTGGCAGACCAGTCACAGTGTCCATACTGAACAAGGTTTTGTTCCAAGGCTTTAGTTTTAGTTTTTAGCAATGTCAAAAATGTCAGTTGGATTTTGAATGAGGTTTTCTTTCTTCTGGAACAGAACCCAGAAGATCTGGTTTCACTTCAACTTTCTACAGCATATTACAAAAGTGAGTTTAGTACAAACATTGGCTTGTGTTACCTGCTTTTGCTAATGTGATGTGGTTTTGGAGAATAGTCTGTAGACAGAAAAACTGTTCTATTTCAAACACAAAAGATTTAATAGATGCCCTTAGCTGTTACTCTTTGGGTTTTCCACAGAAATAATAGACAAAGGGTCAGAGGACCACAGAGTTCACATACGTGTGCATTTACTCAGAGGCATGTACCTTTTATCGATTGGAGCAGCATGCAACACGCATCTCTACACACTCATGTCTACATTCACGCACACTTTAGGAGAGAGAGAGAGAGCCTCAGCATGCTAGGCATTCAAGCTATGTGCAGTTTGCATGTGGATACAGCTTGGTACAATCGTAGCATTTAGACAAGTCCTAATTTACTTAGGATGGGCTTTGCAGCATATGGAACAATCCACAATAGCTGACTGATAAAGAGACAAAGACATTCCAGTCTTCTGGTACTAAAAAACTCAATTCAGATGTGGTCATAATGGCTCAGCTGTCCTAACCAAAGGAAAGGAAGAGAATAGGGTGCCTTGTGATTTTCCCCCTTTTCACCCTCACCCCTCCCTCCTTTTTCTTCTTTTTTGTGCCTGAATCTTTTATCTGTGTTATTCACTTGGGACTCTTCAAAGTAACAAGCCTCCTTCTTTTTCCCCGGTACTGGACTTGGAACCCAAATTAGAGACTGCTTGATTAGAGCAGAGAGGAGGGAGCCAAGAAAGAGGGAGATGTGGGTATTGGACAGAACAAATCACACCCCTACAAAGTGCCTTTTATCCAAAGACCCCAAGGCTCAAATACCCCCATCCCTCCCCAAGCAACCATGGCTCTGCTTGTTTTCTTCTTATCATTTATTTAGTCACTCGTTGATGTTTTCTGCCCTACTTTGTGACATTTAAAAGAGGCAGGAATCTCAAAAGGTGAATGCTGAATGGGCTGAAACTGAACAACCCAGCTTTACCATCTCCTCTTCCTATGTGTCAATCGAGCATCATTTAAGTTAACACAGTGCCCTAAGAAAAAAACAAGAAAAGCACCAGCACAGTTTGACCACTCACTCCTGGGATCCTCTTCCTGTGTCAGGCTGGTATTGTCCTACTGAGCCTCAGTCATCAGGAGAATGTCACAACATGTTAGGTCTGGGCAGGCTGCTGGGGTTTATGTAGCGCCAAGGCATCTCTGGGCTGTCTGTCTGCCATTGGAAGTGCAATGTGAGGAGACATGTTAACAGGCAGACTCCAGCCCCACTGCTGTTAAAAGCCATGCAATATGCAGGAAACTGCCTCTTTTGTCAGCAAGCTGGTCAGACACAGACCACGACTCTCCTCTTCTGCACTGCCCAATGAAAGTTTTATCTGCATTTTTAAGCTGATCCATAATTTAAAGCAGGAAGGAAGAGATTTTTACACTAACCAGCCAACACAAAACATATGTGCCTGCTTTTCAGCTAAAATGTATACAGTCTCTAAGGTGAAATTATTCTACCATGTCTCCAATATTTAGATGATAAAGTTGTGTTTAAATTTTGTTTTCAACCTTCACTAATAATCTGAACAATTCATGTTATTTAAGAATTTATTTAGCAAAAAAAATAAACAAAAAAAAGACAATACAAAGTGTTAAATAATTAGCAAAGAGGGAAGGCCCTGACTGCAGTACAGATGGCAGTTTGGGCTTCCAACAAGTAAGTTCAACATCTAAACAATGGGCCTTCTGTTAGCTTTCTTTTGGCGTCAAGCAGAACTGAGCTCTTCTCACTCTGAATAGTGCATTAGATTCTTCTGTGGACCCTTAGCATCAGCCCCCCTGTTCACAAACAAAATATATGTGCTGCTCATTTGAGTTAAGCTCTGCAAACATTTTTTACAGTGCTGGCAATCCTAAACTGACCAGAAAGGTGTAATTAGGTAGGCTGAGAGTGCAGCTGCTTGGTCCCCAACTCAAAGCCGTCTATGCCTGCCCGAAGCCCAGCGGTCCTCATCTTACCCTGAATGATTATTTTTTCTTTTATTCCTTTTCTTTTTTGTCTATCTTTCTTTATTCCCTCCCTTGTTCCCAATGCGCTATTGATAGCTGTAGTTTATTGTGACAACAACTGATGTGTCTTGCTGGTGACCTGTAAAAGGCAACTCCTTCATGGACATAGCCAAAGGTTAATAAAATTGGTGCTGGTTGTATCAATTTTACAGATACGCCATTCACAGCAAGTGTAGTTGGGTGAATAAGAAGTCAGTTCAGGGCTTGGAAACTGCATACAGGCCCAATGAATAGCTGCTTTTAGGTGCTTTTTTCGTTAGGAGGATAAATGGAGAATTGCAGCTCTCTTCTATTGCAGCAGGCAGCGGAGGCAGAGCGAGGCGAACCAAGGTTCAGACAAGCCTGCCAGTAAATTGCCCTGAATGGGTTCTGGAGGTTGACAGGCCCTATTAAGACAAACGGCTTTCCTCATCGGAGAGATAAAATAAATCAGGTGTTTAGTCAAATTAAAATAGTTTGAGTGGAGAGGGCCCCTGGGAGCTCTCGGAGAAACTCAAGACAGATGTGGCCAGAGACAAGAGGAAGACACCCAGGAAAAAAATTCAGCTCCTGCTGGCCCCAGGCTATATTTCACTGTACTGTTATCTAGATCTCTTTGCTTTTATCCTTCTCTCTCTCTCTCTCTCTCTCTCTCTTTGTCGACTGCCTCTCTGTCTCTCTCTTTTTTGCCAGATTTTCTCATGTCTCTCTTTTTTTTTCGTATGGTTCTCTAGATCAGATTGTCACACAGGAGTGCAGTAGGAGGAGAGTGAGTTACTGTCTAGCCTCTCACTGGCAATTATGTTGGCTGTGTAAGTCAATGGTAGGATCACTTAGCATTGATTAGGTGAAGGGATAGAGCAGTGCAGTGGAGCTGCTCTCTGTCACACACAGTGTGGACAAGCAGCTGTATGTAAGCCTATTGGTTTGTCATTGCATTTCAAGTTGAAGAATACATGCAGTAAAAATAATAAAATAAAGACTGTGTTGTTCGGTGTTGATCATGATGGTACAAATTTCTCGTCAGTGATAATTGTCATTGTACATTCAGGACATCCTTTTGGTGGGGGATTTTTGTGCAGTGTTTTGCCAAATGTGACAAGTCCTTTCAGTAGAAATCTGCAAATCTGAAATTTTCTCTAATGTGTTACTGAAACAGTCATATAATGAAAACTGGTGTAGTTTGGAGGCAACTGGCTCTCAACACTTTCTTTATATTCACCCTTGGTAGTCTGACATAAGCTGCCACCTCAGTTTGACAGCTCCCCGCAGCTCTTTGTCTATGTGCCGGGAACAATTTCTTCCCTTTCTTCCTCTGAAAGCTGTGAACACCAGCTACAGTAAAACAGACAACTCCAGGCTGTGTCTGACCTTAACACTTTCTAGTGAACTCACTGCAGTTGGTTTCTGCCGGTGTGGTTTTCTTTGTACTATATATTGTGTACAGTACAATGGCACAATATGATGATCGGTGAGTGCAGTATGGGCTTGCGTTTCTCGATTTAGCAGTATACAATGACCTAGGCCTTATGCAGACTTTCTTACAAAAACCTGCACTCTGGTTATTTAGTTATCACCGCTCTGGAACCTTTTGTGTAATGCTTTCTTAATGCAACACAAATACTTGTATCTGTGTTTATGACACAGGCTCTCCAGCTATATGTATCCTTGTTTTTATCCTCTCCACTCCTGACATCACTCTCTCTTTCCCCTCACTAGGTACTCCAGAAAGTCTGGCAGAAAAAGAGCACCAGCTCTCTACAATGATCACCCAGCTGATCAGTCTGCGAGAGCAGCTTCTGGCTGCCCACGATGAACAGAAGAAGCTTGCTGCCTCACAGATGGAGAAACAGAGGCAGCAAATGGAGTTAGCTCGTCAGCAGCAGGAGCAGGTAACTGGTTACTGTTTTCTTTTCTCCCATTCAAAGTATCTCTCTTTGTCTTTTTTTTGTACTCCACCTTCTGCATATTCCATATTTCCAGCACATTCCTTTTTTCTTTCATTCTTTCTTATTATTTAAGTTAAAACATTTCATTCATGCATTCCTACTTTAATCTTATTTATGCTGTTTCCCCTTTTGCCCCTATATAAACCCCATTAAATACATTTGTAAAAAAAAATGTCACTTAGCTTTCTATTTCACATTAAATTTCATGCCTGAAATATGCCAATAAAATATTACTCTTCAGTAGGAATTTGTAATAATATTAGATTTAAGAGATGTTATATTCTATATTGCCTCAGATATTTCAGTCACACTCTCTCACCCACATTTATGCTGTGTGGTAGGAAAAATGTTATTATGACTTGTACCAACAAATGTACAGGAATGAGTGAATTAAACGTAATATTAAACATGGAAGCCCTCTATATCTTATAAATCGACTCCTATTAGAACAAGCCTGGCATTAGATTTGCAGCACAAATCAGGCCAATGAGCCATATTGTACAAATCAGCAAATTAGCAGAGGCTATGAAGTGTGTTAATGTCTGGGAAGAAGTAAGGACACAAACTATCCACATGGGCGACACTTTTATTATCACCAGCCATCCTAATGTCTGTGAGTCAGTTATCAGCAAGGAGTTCACTCAGAGTTTTCTCAGCAGACTCTCAGACCTTCCTGTGGTAAATGAAGAGATAGACCATATATATTGGAGTGATGTATTTAGTCATAGTACACTAATAATACATTAACAGTATTGATTTCATTTTTAATCAATGGTGCTCATTTGCAAACTACACTCGACTCTGTGGGCTTTTGTAGACACTGTATCATAAATGCATAGTGATATTTTATTATTTGATCTTATGTTAAAATGGAAGAATATTAATAAAATGAAAGAGAGAGAGGGAGGGAGAGCGAGAGAGCCTGCTGAGAGCTAGAATGTCATCAAGCCATCAAGATACAACACAGTAATTAACTGTTGACACTCGTGAGGAAGCCAGCAGAAATTAATCTTGACACATTTGCAGACGACCAATCTTACAGTGAACACTTTGTAATCATATTTAAAAATGAAAATTAAATGACACTTAAAACTAGGTTGTCATGCTCAATGAAGTGGGCATGTAGAAAGAGGGACTGCTGGGACGAGACAGATTGCTGTGTGGTTGATTGTTGCCTGGGGCAGCGGGGGCCTCTGTCACCAGTACATTGCCTGCACAAGTTATCTCCATCATAACCATGTGCAGCTTTCCTGTAAATCATTTATTCTCTTTTACCACTGACTTTGACTGTGCAGTGCAGTGCAGATTTATTTCCTGTTCATTTAGAAAATTGAAAATATGCCACTCTTTGCTGCAATTTTCTTAGTGAACCACTTTGTAATAAAAGAAACGTGATATTATTCTTTCTTACTAATATGCTCTTTTCTTTGCTATGGCATCTCTATTATATTAACATATAGTATATCATTTATCTCAGGACAATTATTCTAATACACTGTAACTGAACAGCTTTACCATGAATGCATTACTAATAATGTTCCTGCTTTTGTTTATGTCAGTTTAAAAAGCAATTATTTAATGCGTCTTTATTTTGGTTTCTAACCAGATTGCAAGACAACAGCAGCAGCTTCTGCAGCAGCAGCACAAAATCAATCTCCTTCAGCAGCAGATCCAGGTCAGTGAATTTGTTTCTGTTGGTCCTCTAACACTCAGCAGCTTATATCTCTCACTCTCTCCACACTGATTACTACAACATTTCTTCCTTTTCAGTGTAAATAGTGCACCACTGCTGTCGCCATGAGCCAAATATCTGGATTTACAGGCACAAATCAGTAAAACTAGATATTAAAGTAAATACCACTGCTAACTTCTGAAAGTTGTCTTTTTCTCTTTTATTATTTTGTTGTTTTTTTATCTTTAAATTTTTGTGTCACACTAACATTCATCACTCTCATCAAATGCTAGTTGCCTGTTGGTTATTGTGAGGGCTTTAAAATATGGAGGAGAATAATTAGCACATCTTAATGAACAAAAAAAAAGAAAGGGGGAGGGGGGTAACAACAACTAATGATTCATGTTGATGGAGTAGTGCCTGGAGGTGGGGTGGGGTGGGGGTGTACATGAAAGAGGCTGTTAAATGCCTCTGAAATGAATCAGTCCCAGAAGGACAACGTGGCATGCTTTCACGTAGGACAAGCGCTACTGATGCTTTCGTTGTTATTGTTCTGAAATTGGTTCTTTTCCCTCCTTGTTCCTCTTCTGTTATACAGTTATATGTTGCTCTAGTTTTAACCCGTGCACCTAATGCCACACATTCTCATTCATATGTTTATGTTTGTGTGCACCCTTATGTGATACCGTACAGGGAGGTGCAGTCAAAGACCACCCAGGCTGCATGTTGGATAGTAGACATGGCCAGACAGTACAGGGTAACTGGCAGTGGTCAAGGCTGTGAGTCTGGCTGCCTCAGTGGAGCAAATATTATCTTGCTGAATGTGCTTGGTGTCAGGCACATCCTTCACGTCCTCCTCCTCTGTTTGTTCTCCTGACTGATAACTCCTCAACCTCTCTCTTTATTTCTACCTTTTTGTAACTCTTCAAACACTTACTTGCAAAAACTTGCTCTTCCAGTACCTTTAGTGCTCCTCACAGGGGATTTTTTTTCTTTTTTTGCTGAACAAGCTGTTTCTCTTTGTAGGCATTGCATGGGGCATCACGTGTCATGTCAGCTGTTATGAAGGGGACATAATAATGATTTCTTATGATGCACATAGGCAAAGCAAACTTATGGCTTCAAACAGCAGTTAGCACATAGTCAGATTTACTACTATGCCATTAAATGTCTCTTTCAAAGGCTCTTTGCAAGAAAAAGACCATATAGTGAGCTTGTTCTTGAGAAGCCACTAGCCTAGACAGTCTATTGGAAAACATATTCCATATTACACTTGACTAAAGAGAACCATGGAGCATGACATGCTGTCTAGAAAACACTCTAAAATGAAGTACCTTACTCACTAGTGAGGGCCTAGTGTTACTCATATCATGGAGGGCCCTTTACTTATGCTCATTGAGCATAAGGGCACAGCCCTAATGCATGTCACTTTTAGAGGTCCTTGCTTTCATCACAAAGTTAAAGGCAAATGGTACCTGAAAATTCCCCTTGATGCATAGATTTGAGAGAGGGCGGGGTGTCGAGTGTGCATGGGAACGTACTTCTAAATATCCATTTCAAACACTTGAACAGAGATACAAGTAAAGTCCTGTCTTGCAGAGCCCAGTTTGCCAGCTTCTCCCTGAACCAAACGTGACAGAGAAAAAGCCACATCCACAATTAAACTAAAGATTCCCATGTTCAGACCATATGCTCCGCTGCCCATCAGCCGCTGCTGGCTGCACTTTTCAGACAGAACAGTACCCAAGAACAAACATGGGTTACTCTTGATACTTCAAATAAGTTTGATCCTGTGCAAGATTGTATATCCAACAGAAAGTCGTTTAAAGAAGAAGATGTCCTCTCTCCCTAACCTAGTTCCTCCAAATATGTAGTGTAGTGGTGGCCACTCCTCTCGAGTTGGAGTAGCAAAAAGAGTAGATAGAAGAGAGTCAGGGGCCAGTTAGTGAAGCATTTTTTGCCACTCTGTTTTCATTACTGCTGCCTCTTAAAAATGCCGTGCCATAATACATAACAGCTTTGACTTAATTAGTTCTGTAAACAAGCTTCCAGTTTGTATGTCAGAGACTTTGAAAAGTGGCAAGCACTGTTGGGGGATTGAGTTACATGTACTCTGCTATTAGCATGGAGAGCACTAAACTTTATTGGAGACCCTACTGGTCATCAAAGTCCTCTGTTTTGGCTTCAGGGAGAAAACCAAGAGAAAGCCTTTTGCTCAAGGTCTCATAATGATGATCTAACTGGTCACATCGGTGGACATTGTAAACTGTCCTAACAATAAAACCATAGGGACTGCAACTAGGAGCTGCTATTGGCACGCTATTTGTGTGCTTTCAAAGGGTTTTTGCATGTGAACCGAAGGGAATCCATCAGAAGTGTGTTGTTATAGAGAAGTAAGGTTTGGAGTAAAGCTGCATGCAGTTTAATCAAGTTTCCCTTTTGAATAGCCATCTCTCTTTTTATCCTTTCTCATCATTCCTACAAGAGAGGGAGAGATTTAGTCTTTGTCCTTCGGGATTACAATGTCACTTGTTTTAAGATAGCGGATGTTTTGACTGGAGTGTTAGGAGCTTATCAAAAGTTAAAGCTCAAGGTTTTGTGTGTTTTTCCCTCAGATTGTTTGTATTCCTTCAGTACATCCTCATCGTTAAAATCGTCTTGGCTGTAATTCAATGCTAGGATAAGATTAACTCTTGAGTTGATTTAATTGAAAATTTGACAAGTGACAATTAAACATATATATTAGCAGGGAACTGGTTTGTCCCATAAGTTACTTATCTCCCTGAGTCTGTGTGTAGGCACCAGGACAAATAATGAGTTTTGTTTTTCTTATTTGTTTCAGCTCAGCATCACTCAGGCATACTGGGTATTGCTTGAGTCTTCTCCAAAGCTTTCTGTTTTGTGATCACACCCACTTTCTCCTGCTACTAATGGACAAGCAGTCACAGAGGATAAGCAGCTAAACAACATTACGTTGACCATCAGACTATTGATTCACGTTTCGGCATGTTCAGTCATACGTATTTTCAACTTATAATAGATGGTAATTAAAGCCAGTATCTTACTAAGAGTTGAGCAGGTGGTATTAGAAGAATAGTATATCAAATTCTTTCTGGATACAAAAGTCACATCCACAGTTAAATGAAAAACTCCCTTGCCCTCACGTGATGTGGCACTTTATGAAATTCAAGTGACAGTACTATCCATAGTCATGCAACAAGGACCCAGGCCCACACGTCACATGGTAATGACCCCAGCTCATATGTTCCTCAAGGAAAAAGTCATAGTTTTACTCACACACAGACAAGCAGATACTCATCCACTTGCACATGAGGTAATCGTGTACAGTACACAGGCACACAGGGAGCCGACGCATTGATGCGCACATCAAGAGAATAAATATTGCCTGAAAGGTCAGGGTGAACTTTATCTTCACAAAAAGGCTAGAGAAAGCAGAGCTCCCCAGATGAAACGAAGGGACACTTCTTATCGGGAACATTTAATTTAAATTTTTTATCCATTAAAATTATCACAACATCATAACACTGTCATTCATCACTGGTTGTGGCATTGATGTGCCAACCCTGAGTACACTATGAGATCAGAGATTTGAAAGATCATAAATTTTTATGGAGGCCATTGTTAAAAGAGTTTTTTTTAAACATGTTTATAAAACCTTAAACGATCTGTTCTTCAAGCAGGTCTGTTTATCTCCCTTTGACCTGCTGTTCTCTCCTTATACATGGCCTTATATACATGGTTTGGCTTCAAACACCAACCTCACTTTATGTACACACCCATTATTTGTGTCTCTACAGTCTACTGTACCTTTAACCTTCTGTCTATAAACGTAGTTAAAAAGAAAAAAAGAGAGATTCAAAAAGAAAAGGTAGGTATATTGTTGCCCACTTCAAACTCTTAGGGGCTTTCTCACATCTTTGATGATGTAAAGAAACAGAGGAGCACGTGCAGATTCTCAATGGTTAGATGCTAATGGTCCAAAGATTAAAGAAGAATTTACGCCAGCATTTAGCTGCCAACAATCCAGAGGTAGACTCTCAGGGTGGTTTCACATTAGAGACCCAGGCCCGGATCCGAGTACACTTGACCCCCGAGTCCGGTCCATTTTCATCAGTGTGAACACAAGCGTACTGGACTTAGACACCATGACCGAATTCACTTTTAGAGGTGGTTTTGTGCACAAGTCATGTTTAGTTAAGTATGGTCTGCAGGAGATTGAACCAACCATGCTCAGACAAGGAAGTATGTTACATCATATCTATTCAACTCTGTTGGTTAAAACATTAACAAACCTGACTGCGAAAGGATTTCTGTGGAGTAAAGAGGACGTAAAATACAGTACTTGTTTGAAATTTGGGATGACGAGAACATGCAAAGACAACTGGATACTACACACAAAAACTCTGAGATTTATGGAAGTATTCACCAGTATTTACATGCGCATGGAACAGAAACAAATGTCACCCAGCTGATGACAGGAATGGCTGCTTCTTCTTCTTTCTTCTTCTTGCAAATTGCAAACCAAGTGTGTACTGCCACCCAAAGTATCATACTGTGTATATACGCAAGTGTGCTGGGGCATGGAATGATGTTACTAATGTGAAAGCAGACCTGCAGGGAAGGGTGGGGGGGAGCAATTGTGCTCAGGCATGGTACAAAACAATTGTGCCAAATGTGAAAACGCTCTAACACACATGTTCTGAGATGAGCAGGGACAAGAGACACACAGGCAGACACTGGTCATCACTAACAAATCTCTCTTAACTCCAGTGTATTAAGATCATGCAGCTTGAGTTGCTATTCAGAGTTACTATTTTTTAAACTAAATTAGGCACAGGCAGCTAAAAGGTTCTTTTTTTCTGTTATTTTACTTTTCAAAATATGGGCTTAATGAACTTACATGCTGCTGTTTACTTTGAGCTAATATATTTTTAGAAGAGAAAAAAATCAGGACAGCAGTGTGTTTTAGTCAGTTTAGCGCACATGGATTTTCCATTTCCCTCTGTTACAAAGAAACCAGAGAATTCACATGGGATGCTCTGTAAAAGTGTCTTCTGTATTCACTGGCTGGAGCGGCTGCCCAGTTACACACTTAGGCTTTTGTATTACACATTTGCAGTTTTTTTTTCAATGATTGTTGTACTTTGCACCAAAAGAAACCAGTTTATACATTGTGATTGATTATTAGTCACTCCATCAACAAAGCCACAATCTATTTAGTTGTATATATTTTAGAGTCAAACATTTCTATTTGAGTTTTTCTGGATATATATGTGTCAGTTAGGATTTTAGCTTTTTTTATGTATGCTGTGTAGATGTGATCAAGATTGGTCAGGATAGATGTGAGCCATCTGTCATGCCTCACATGCAGCTTGACCTGTAGCTATCATCAAGTCATTACACAGATTTTTAACAAAATCCAGCCCCTGCTTTAGCTGTAACACTCAAGGACTTTTGCATTCTTGTGCTGATGCCATACCAATGTGATTCCACTGTATTCTTGGGGTCATGGCCCTGTTGTAATATAAATCATCAAGCCAGTAAGGCATTTGTCTCCAAGAAGCACTTTTCTCCTTATTATTGGCCTATATCAGACTGCAATAAGTGTTTTCTACATTCCCACCTGCCCCGCATAGCCTGGTGCTTCTACCATCATGCTTTCTTGCTTACCATTTTTATGTAAAGCGTTTTGTTACAGCAGAAGCTTTAAATATCGGCCTAGTGCTGTGCAAATAGTTATCTAACCAGATCCTCCAGCACTGGTGTTTGGCCCATATGATAAATTGTCTTTTAGTAGTACTGGTTTGTAATCACTTCTTTATTATTATAAAAAGGAATATGCATGTTATTGAATCCAGTGTGGTAATTTAATGCACTGACACTGTTTTGTTACCAATTTAGAGAATCAGAGACTCCAAAACTACAACATTATGGTAAACATTTTAAATCAGTCATATGAGTTTAAATAAACACAGGGCTGTATGGTAATTGCACAAAGATAATAGTGCTAATTTGTGTATTCTCAGATGCTTTGTTTTCTCTTCGACACAAATGATTTTCTCAGTGTGAGACTCTTATTAATGCACTGGAAAAAAAAAAGGCACAAAAATAGACATTGTTAAAGAGAATGTGTAAGTTCCCCAATTAGCACAGCTAGATTGAAACCGTTAGCATGATAATAAGAGAATAATAGAGCAGGGAAATGATAACGTGTGCATGCGTTTAAGTGTGTTCTGCTGTGTGCACACGCATGTGTAGATGCTGCCAGTTCTTTCCCTTGTGTTAAAGAGGTCTGTATTAGCCTGCTTGTAGGATTATGTGGGGGCATTAACAGCCCAGTCAGACAGGCTTGGCTCTCACTCAAGGAGGCTTGGTCCAGAATGTTCATCCTCAATGTAAGGAGACTGTTAGCTGATGAAGATGTGCACATGCAAGACTGAAGGTAAAAGAAAGCAGTGACTCAACTCATTAGCCCTTGTGATTTAATATATTGACAATCTGATACAAATAATTTCATTTAGTCAACTCTATTAGGGGAGGGAGGGATCAATTCAATTAGTTATGAAATGTGACTTCTTGTCAGGACACTAGAAATGCTGACGTTCAACAAAGTCGTGTGCAATTGAAACAATAAAGCCACCGTGGCCCTGTTAAAACTTAATGATGCACAAAAAGGTGTAATATATACAGTACAACCTCAGCAATGGCAGTGATGGTTTACAAATGAAGCTAAGTGAATTAACGGCTGGCATGTAATGCATTTGTTTGTTAAAGCAAACTACTGCTTAAGGAATATGCAGAGTAGATGCTGTTTAAACATTCTAGGGTTTGTGGGTTTTGTCCCATTTGGACAAAATGCAGCCTTATTTTTTTAGAATGAAATGCACAGTGTATTTACTTAATGGAACTGTGTAGCTTTAAAGTAAAGTACAGTACACTGGAATGATTACTGGACTGTATCACTAAACTAAAAAACACTGTGTGAATGCTGGATTTAAAAACAACAAAAGATGGACATATCCACCCTTATTTGTTAGAACGTAACACTTGGTCATTGGCTTTGAGTTTCTAAGTTAAATGAAACATATGCTTGTTTGTACCGTGTCTTTGCCAATAAGATAGGAATGTAGACAAACATAGATCAATTATTGCTGTAAATTACACCATAAAGCCATGCCTTTGTGTAATTGGCCTTTGTATTCAGACACCTCAGCAGTTTAAACAGTAATAATTAAGAGGCTCCATATGAGAGGTGCCACATGAACGGCTGTAATCTGTGAAATCACACCTGAGGGTCTACTCAAAATTTGTCACCTGAGAGGTTGTAAAGCAGCCTTGGGACAGGTTAATTAATGACACAAACTTCCAGCCTTCTATCAGTTTTCATAAGTGACATGAATAATCAAATTAAGACAGAAGACTACCAGGCTTATGTGATCAGGAATTTGCCTTTTAAATGAATCCTGGCACTAAATAACCCTGAAAGCTGGATGTCTTTTTTTTTTACATGCACATGTGATGAATGGAGAACTTTTAAGTTCCATCTAAATATCACAATAAAGCGCCTGTTTGGAGCTATACAAACCTTCATTTTGATGAAGGTAGAGCCCATACACTTAACAGCCATCTTACCCTGTACCCTCAAAAGGAAAATATCAGCTGAGCGAGAACACATCCTCCAGTGTGAAGTCAATTTAGTTTCCTCTCCCTCTCTGTGTGGACTGTGTTTTCTCAGCTAATGTTGTGCAAACTGTTTTGTCTTTGCGTTAGCTTTGCATGACCATCATCCTCAGCGGTGGGCACACTCTCAGGGAGAAGGAGCTGCATTAATAGGCTCTACTGTGTACAGGCAGCCAGCAGGGAGAAAGGGGCACGTGTTTTCTTAGGGCTAGGGTAGCAAAGCAAACACATTCAGCCAATGGCTAATGCAAAAAAAGAGCTTTTTGTTTTTGGGGGCGGAGGAGAGCCCAAACATTCCTGAACAGAACACAACAGATAACCAATTTTGTCCTGTGTAGTTTTCAAAAAAATGATTTGTTTGTTTTTCCATAGCTGAGTTCTCTGAGATACCTATTGTTTTTATATTCCCTTAATTTCAATGCTAATTTTCCGAATATTTGTCATCACATTACTACTGTTTTTCCTGCTCATCATCAGGTGATGATATCTGAGCATAGTTGAAAGTCTCAGCACACTTGTGTCTCTAATAAAGTTGCTCCTCATGACAGGCCTGCTCTCTGCTGAACAACAGAATGGGCTTTATTGTCTCCTGTGGCCCCAGCAGCTGGGTGGTAATAATGAAGACAGAGCCTCAGTTTATGATTGCGTATTTTAGAGGAGGCAAGAATGTGTTGCTATGTGTACAAATTCAAGACATACATTGTATCAGTATGTAGAAATACATAGCTCTATTATTTGTGTGCTTTCATTGTGTTCAGAATGGTCAGTTAAACATACGGCCAGTGAAAAATCTTTAAACAAGATCATACCTTGAGGCTTGACCTTGATATATATATATTCTTTACAGGGAGATACATTTCATGTAAAGAATTATCACAACACCTTTTGTATACTGTTCAAACCTACACAGATCACTTTTTTAGAAATGCATTTTTGCATTTTTTTTTGTTTAAATGTTCTTGCACATCCATTGACTTGTTACTCAGAAATGTGTTTATTTGACATACTTGAGGAAAAGCTTTCATTATTCTTCTTATGACATTTAATACTGCAGTTACATTAAATTATAGCAGTGTGCAGAGATGCTATAAATGCCAGGCAGTGTATTTATGCAAACAGTAGCCTGCAGTTTTATCCTGAATTCCAAGGAAGTCAGGAGAAGCAATGAGAAGGAGGGCTGAAGCAGAGGGATTTGGGGTGGGGTGTGTTAGGCGGGTCCCTGCTTTCAAGCTCCCATCTTAATATAGACATATTGGAATGGCTGTTTTCCAAGAAGGCTTGTTTTACTCTGTAAGGAATTAGTGGAACAAGAAGTCATCCATTGGTTATTCCCTCTGGATGGCCTGATCTCACTCAAGTATCTGGATTTCCTTCACTTTATCCCAAACAGCGCTTAATGTAACACACGTAGGCATGATGTGCAGCATCTCACACAAACCTGTCCAAACAGTGTCCCAACAATTCACAGAGAATAGTATAGATAGGACTTTTTTCAGGCTAGTGCTTGTATGCTGTTAATCTTTGGCTTTAGATGCTTTTGTCTGTACAAGGATTTCAGATGCAGGAAGGAAGTAAGGAGAAAAGGTCAGATACTTGACCAGGACAAGGGTCTTTTGTTGGTGACCTGAACCTCTCCAGTGTATTTGCTCTCCCCATTCCAGTGCACTTATTTCCAGAGCAGACAAGCAGAAATAATGTGTTTCAGTCTAGTGGGTGGTAATATGAGGACCTTCAGTCAAAGGCAGAAGTCTGGAGCATCAAAGTCTGGTTAAAGTCTATTGATCTATTTGTGTGATTTCCATCAGCTACAGGCAAATTCAAACACCATCGCATTTCTGTTCGATCAGTGCGTGTGTTTGATGCAAGTGCTCAGTTTTACAGTGGCCATATAATCAGCTGATAAGTAAATGAGTAATATGGGCTTAAAGATTTGTTGATTGTTGCACTGGGGGTAAAAATCCTGAAGCAGCACAGAAAAATCAACATTTCAGAAGTGTTTCCAACGAGGGAGTTTCCTCCCAGTTAGACTCCAGTAAAGTGTACACCCAGTGGGCTATGTACACAGTGGTGGGTGTTAAACATATCCTGCTGTCTAGTGTCTGTTTTACAGTGTGTGCGATGCTGTTGGGATGAGGTCAGGCTTACCCGAGTCCTCAAGATCACTTTCCTTTTAAAAGGATCACAAAAGGTGATTTCTACTTGCACATGTTAGGTGTGCAGCTCAGTGGAGGCAGGGTGAAGTGTGAACTATCAGTTCTTACAAAAACAGCTGGAGTCTATCCTCCCTGGGTAAAATTACAGAGCCCCTCCTACAGAAAATGTGAAGAAGAAGGTTAGTGAGAGCTGTGGATCTGACAGCTACTAAAGTGTGGAAGTAATTTTATTAAAATTAGATGTCAGTGAAATGTGAGCCCTCCTCTAAATGATTACTGGTGATTGTGATCTTTTCCTAATGGGAAAGGCACCTATTAAAATCAAAATGATTGTACAGAATTAAGAATAGCATAGCTCCACTGAAATTTGGTTACTTGTGGTCATTGTATTCAGTATTTTCATAAAACAGTTGAAGTGGTTTTGCTTTTTTACAAGTCTCATTAAGGCACATGAATTTATATTATATCCAAGATAAGCATTTGTGTGAGAGGTGTGTTAAAAGGTGTCAAGTAGCAATTAATCAGGATATTAGAGACAAGATCACATACTGTATGTCTTTTAAAGCGAATAACCATGAAACACTGCAAGAATTTTCTGAATATATATATGTATACATGTCTCCCAGTTACTATTACATAGAGCTCTGTGATCCACAGCAAACACACTTGAGTGTGGATCAGTGCATGAGAGCATAAGGGGGTTCAGAGGAAAACCCAGCACGGGGTTCCTTAGGCCTCCTGGGTGCTTTGTAGAAGCTATAACAGACAGCGAGGAACATGGGTGTTGACAGGGGCCCAAGTGAGTGCCGTAATGCGCTGTATATCTCCATTTGCACTCAGAGTTTTGGAGCTCCTTGTTTGTGTGCTGTTGCTTAAATGTCTAGAAAAACAACATTTACTTTTTCCACAGATACAAATACTTTACAGCATTAACCAAGCTTAATTCCAAGTCTGCAGATGTATTTTTTAAAAGCTAAATATATATTTTTTTAATTTGTTAAAAAATAAAAATACATCTTAAGTTCTGTCAGTATTTCACCAGATCAGAGATGGAGTCTGAGCTGTCTGATTTGGCCTCTGCAGCTGGAACCTGAAAGACTGTACAGTCACTTAGTAATCTCATGCTTAACTTAGTTACTCTATACGTGCTCAAAGAAATGATCAAGTAAAAATAAATGAACACACAATCAATTTGGCATTTAAACAGCCCCCAAATCATACATTTATAATAAGGCACTGGTGTGACTAAACTACGTTTTGCAAAAATAACAAGAAGTGTCTTGTTTTTTTCCAAGACTTACAGTAAATAAACTTAATTTGCTCTTCCATAATATGCTATTCATTTAGTGTCTTAATCATATTAGAACTGCAAGTTGGTTTTATTAATCAAATACCGGCATCTCCTTGAGAGGGAAACAGATTGCGTGCTGGCCTGCTACAGACTTCATCAGGTCATCTGAATTGATGATACACGTTGCAAGACAGTTGAGTTCCCCCGGAAACCTCTGTTGGAGCTCGGGCTGGCAGAGACGGGAGCCTCAGCCAAGTCTGTCTGACTGATCACTACAGATGCTCCTCTTCAAGTATTCTGAGTCAGATCCTTAGTGCTGGGTCTTGAGGGACAAACAATAGCACCTGTTCCTCATAAGATAGCCCGTTCATGTATCTTTAATGAAGCCAGGGGGCAGATGGTGTGAAATGACATTATCCAGTACTTAGCAGTGCTAAGACAAAGGAAGAGCAGTGCCAACACAACAATGCCGCTGCATTTACAAGGAGAAGGGAGGATGCTGCCCAAGTGCACCACTCACATCTGCTCCACTTCATTCTCCGACTCCTCAAGATCATCTTGGCAATAGAAATATTCTGGGCATTCAGCCCATACATACTGTAGATGAACTTGAGGGTGACTCTTTAAGGGGGAGGGGGAATTAGTTTCTAGAGCTACACATACATACACACCTTTTTCTGTTTAACATATACAGTATTTCTTAATTTTATTTTAGTTTTTTACTAATTTCTTCCTAAATTTTTACACCATTCATCCACTGAGCCAGTGTGCTAGCTTTAATCTCACAGTGGAACTAACCTCCGCTATTTGTTGCCACCTTGAAGCTCCTCAAAATTTGATTTGCCTTTCTCTGACATTAGTTGCTGTAAATTAAACTTTAATGTGCAGAGCTCATTACGGCAAATCACAGCCATTCGCGCTCAATACAGTTTTTCCCGTTCAACGCACATTCACACTCTGTCTTGCTTCGGTGAATCTTGTATATTCTGCTTCATATTTTAAAATAATAATAGTAATAAAAGCTGATACCCCAGATGAAATGATAGCATTTACATTTACAGTTGCTGGAGAAAGTATCTGATGTCTTTTACAAATGTCTCTCAGTATATATACTATGCACAATTTGTATACATGTCTTGTGAAGTGTGGCTCTTTGAATTACCCATTTGTCTTTTGCAAATAATTAAAAACAAATAAATTATGGGATTGTGTGAATGATAGCAACTATTTAAATCTATGTAGCATCATGATTTTTGTTTCTTTATGCTCCTTGTGGCTCAGCGGGTTTTGCTGATATGGTTTGCAAAAGGACGATGGATGATCATAATTTTTTTTATGAGCATCAATAACGTTTGACCAGTACACGTTAAGGTTGTATGTAAAGCAGTCTTGCAAAGATGTTTTGACTCAGGAGAGTGTTTGGAGCCAGAGGAAATATAGACAGAAAGATGTGAATGATTTTGTTACTTTGAGAAATTAGGATTTAAAAGTCAAACAGAATGTTTTTGATGTTTTATCTTTTTAACTAAAATATTTGGGTCAGATTTATTTAGAAAAAAAGTGATGTAACTTTAAATTTACTACTGATGTATGTTAGTTAATTCATAAAAATGTATGAACTACCATGCAACACATTTGTAACACACTTGGAAGGATGTGGACATCAGGGAGCCCTTTTCTGCCCTGTGACTGCTGCACATTCAGCAACAGACTCCATCTGGTTTTATAGTCCAAGTACACAGACAGAGAAAAGCTCTGTTCCCCAGTGGCACCCCCCACCCCCCCCCCCCGCCTGTCACTGGTCCTACCTCATGTTGTGACATTAATTATTGTGTTTTTCCATATGTTCCTTACATGCAAGGCCAAGATCCATCTTTCATTCATTCAGCCTGGAAACTTGGAACACAAATCCCTTTAAAGCAATGTTTTATTTAAGGTCATTTGTCACAGTCTCCCTGGCCATTTATTTTTTCTTCACCAACAGCACATTTTATAGAATTACATACTTTTCTATTCTTTTATAAAGCACTTTCTGCACTTGCACTTTTGTAAAAGCTCAGCAGACATGAAATGGTTCTATTTATTTAGTTTTCAGTCTAGCTCTGCACCTCTGGACAGATCAATAAAGTAGTTTTAAGTAGGTTTAGTGAGCTAGCTGTGAGAGAAACTACTGTGGCTGCGGCCACTCTGGTAACGGGTCTACAGGGGGAGCAGTGCAGTCTAAAAAAGAGGAGATCATAGCAGACCTCAGCCAGAACATAGAGGAAAAAGTCATTGCTCAGAGCAGGCTGATTTCACGCCCCAATGCAGTGGCAGTAATTGCACCCAGACCAGTTTTATTGCGAGTTGATTTTAAAGAGGAATGAATGGAGAAACATTCTGTAAAGTGTTTATTTTGGGGGATGACCTTTATTAACCCATTTTCCAGGCACGTTCCCCTGAGGTTGCCTGGCTCAGTGCTAGATTAACCCTCACAGGCCCATAGTAGCCGAGCTGCTCCCCATCACAGAGTTTCAGGAAGCTGAGAATGACAGTAAGACTGGACCTTGCAACTTGTGCGCAGAAGCCCCTCACACCGCTTATGAGCCATAAGCTACTCACCCACCCTTGACACACACACTTGCAGGGAGTTTGTTGATAGTCCCAGCAGGCAAGTGAGCAATGGGCTACATGGTGAAGGTTAATACATGAGTAAAACAGTCAGTCAGAGAATGATATTAAAATAAAATACAGCAAGAATCTTCCCTTGAGGTTGAGTGTGTGTGTGTATTCATGCAAGTACATGCTGATCAGTTCCTTTTCTGCACCTGTACAGTCAGTAATCCTCATGCTGGCATGTTGTATCTACGGTAACAGTCAGGGTGTTGGCGAATGCTTCTTTGAACATGTACAGTACTTCTTTACAGTAGCTGTATGAACCCATCGAGCCACTTTAATGGTCTTGGTAAATGGTCTTATACTTGTATAGCGCCTTTCTATGCTTTTACAGCACACTCAAAGTGCTTTCACACATTATTCAGCCATTCACCCATTCACACTCCCAAGCACTCACACACCGGTGACATCACCGGGAGCAACTGGGGGTTCAGTGGCTTGCTCAAGGACACCTCGACATGTTGACTGGACAAGCCGGGAATCGAACTGCTAATCCTCCGGTTAGGAAACGACCCGCTCTACCTCCTGAGCCACAGCCGCCCCCTACATGTCACTTCCTCTAACTGATGCTGGAACAATATACCTATGCGGGTCGTTTGATGGACTGAGCTGAAACTGTGGTTTGGATTAATAGTGAGCGTAGCTCAGTCAGGTATTGTGCGAGCACACGAGGGCCATCATTGCTGCAGAGCTCCCTGTCAACACAAGTTAGGAAGAGCTGTGATCTGTCCTCCCCCTGAGCGAGCTCTGTGTTTCTGTGTATCATGCCTATGCTTAGGCCTCTCTCTGATCTCTGTTCCCTATATTTTTCCACACGACCAACGCACTCTGGCAGCAGCAGCCGCCGCGCAGCAAGGCTTTCTCTTCCCTCCAGGAATGTCTTATAAGCCAGGTATGCTTACAACTTAATCATTTTTCTCTGCCTGCTATGCCTTTTCATTGTTGTGATTTTTCAGTCTTAAAGTTGTTACACTTGCTTAACAAGTGTATAACAACAAACAAAGGTTTGATTCACACTTCACTGAAATGATCTGCACTGTCCAGACCTGGACTTGAGACCAAGACCTGACAATGTTCTAGTCCATGTGGAACAACAGATATTGGTTGAGAAGCAGAGGAATGTAAACATGTCTTCAACATAAAAGTATCATTCAAGAGTGTGCTTGGCTGGAAATGGTTTTCAAGTCTTCAAAGTTACTGCATGAAATGCCTACCAATTGTTAGCAGGTCCCTCATAACAACTTCAAACAATTATGTCTTCTGACAGTGAAGTTAAGTAATTAAAAGACAATTAAACATGGATAGTTATTGTATGATGTAAGGAACAGGTTTTCCTGCTTCCATATAACTGCTTTCATTGTTGAGCAAAGTTGAGTAAAGGCTCTACAACCTCTTAAATAAAAATATAAAAATGAAAATGATAAAAGAAAAAATAAAACATTCAAAAAAGACATGGCCTGCCAAAGAAGTAAACTCATTCACCCAATTTAAGATGTGCTACCACAAATTACTGTACTCACATAAAACATAAAAAAGTTTCATTGACTTCACACACTATACTTTTTTAGACGTATCTATAAGTTGTGTAGTCAAACAAAACTGAATTTGTATATTTTGAAAAAAAAAACTTTTCTCTTGCACACATGAAAATATGAGACTGTGTTTGTGAAAACCCTACTGTCAATGTATGAGTCAGCTAGAAAAAGAAAAGTCCACTTGCCTGCCGTAAAACAGTACCAGAACAAGAAAGATGACTGAAAATGGAAAAGAAGCACTGGGCAGTCAGCAGGTTCACCCCAGAACATTAAAAGGTGTGGTAGTGCAGTTAATGAATTAACTATAAAACCAAGAGATGAAAAAGAAAGTCAGCTATTTTGGAACTATGGAGCCATGACAGCTTAAACAAAGTGCCCGAGGGGGAGTCTTTCACCAGTGTGCTTTCTGCGTTAGGTTGACACGGAAAATGTTTTAGTTCAAATAACAGGAGCTATTATGGAATCATGGTCAGGGGTCGTCATGGGTATATAGTTCCTGCATAATTCATAAGTTCATGAAGAAACAGCAAAGGGGGTCTGAAAATGACTCTTCTAGTCAGGAGAGGTATTTTCAAAACCTCTATTATTTCTCCCCGTCCAACACAATATACACAATATACCCACAGAGTACAATGTTATCGCCACCACCTGCCAGGTATACAGGATGCTGCCGTGTCCTTTCTCCATGAAGTGAGTGGCCAAGCATTCACTTCCAAGACTAAGGCACACTAATCTGATATTATCATTATGAGACAGCTCCCAGGGACCACTGCTTATGACCCCCTGCCCTGTGGTGCTCACATGGCAACAGAGTCATTTTAACACCATGGTGGTAAGTCATCACCGCATCCACTGGCTGTGCTCAATGGCCTAGTGCTGCATGGTAGACAAGCACAGTCATAGAAACACCAACCCATTTTCTAAACAAATAGATACAAGTCGGACTTCCAGTTTGTTTGCACTGTTTACACAGCAGCATTCAGTCTGATGTGCTTCTAATGGATCTGCGAACGACCCTATAGTCATGGGGTCATGGGTCATGGTTTCATCTGCCAGTCTTCATCATAGACACCCTGCTGACAGTTGACAGTTTCCTCATGCTATTTCATTTTAAAGCCTGTAATTTTACCACATTTTACAGTAGCAGTTTTCATAAAACTGCAGTGCCTGTTATTTAAGTCATCCAAGTTGGACACTGTTTTCTTCAGGATATACTTAAACAAATTAAATTAAGTTTGGTAACTTCATGTTTTTGTTGGCCTCACTAGGTCTACTGGAGAATGAAATTTTAACAATAAAAATGATATATCTTTATATGTGTCTTTGTGAAAGCCTGTTTTTCTATGAACAACTCTGTTAGGTACTGTAATTTAAAAGCCGCTGAAAAGAAAAGACCATGTTTGAGGGTTACGGCCATATACTTTACTGTAGTTCATTCATCATCAGCTGGTCTGGTCTAAGAAAGGTCTCAGCTATCTATCTGTCAGCCCTCAGCAGATCTATGACTTATGCTTCCTCGTATTACGTGAGCAGGGAAATATAGCCTGTTGTGACCATGGCATCACCTGCATTACTCCCCCCACTTTAGCATTCAGGGTCCAGGGTCTGGGCATGGAACCAGTAAAGGTTAGTTAAAAATAAAAAACACAGTTTTAAAAGTAATTCCCTTTCACCAGTGACACTAACTTGGCACATTCTGCTGGAGTCTGGTGCCTCCATAGAGGGGCAAGACCCAGACCTTGGAGCCAGACCCCCCAGGAGTGGTAGTGTGCTCACTTAGCACATGACCCTCCCCAGGTTTCACATGACATCTAAAGACATCCAGTCATTTATAATTCCCAAATCGTACATTGCAGATGGCACAGAGAGAGAAAGAGAGACAGAGAGAAAGTGATACCAAAAAGAGGAGGTGTAGAAATAACCACAGTGCACACACACATATCCAACCAAGCATATTTGAAACCACTTCTGCTGTGTGATTCTATTTGCTACTAAATGGGGATTGAATTTCCATGGCCTATATCACATTGTGCTGTGTTGTACAAGATTGCGAAGTGAGGCAAGCGGGCAAGGGCAAAGTGAAAGAGAAGATATATACATTTACCTTGTCTGTGGCTTAATAGCTATATATGTTTGTGAAGAGAAGTGACAGGCAGAAGTGGGGTCTGAGCGAAGGCCAACTACCCCTCCCCCGCTCCCAATGTGCACCTCACCTACTCCTCTATGAACGTTGCGCTGCCCCATCTCACTGGGGCTGTTCTGTCCACTTCAACACACAAGCTTGAGTGTGTAAAAGCTTCTGCAACCCCCATGGATATCACTCATTCTGCAGCCTTGTTTTTTTTATATTGCTGTCTGACAAATGCGCTGATGGCAGGCCAAAATTAGAGAATAGTAATGAATAGTGCTGCTATTTGGAGACCAATTCTTCTTTGCTTGATTATAGTGATACTGTACATGAGATAAGAATGTGAGGGTTTTTTTTTTTTACCCTTGTTATTGTGACTGCACACTTGTTCTAACCAGTTCACATGCAAGTGCTTTCACTTTGCTGCCAAATCTATCACTCAGAAATGCACAATGTAGTGTTGAACAATAGCCAGACAAGTCTACAGCTGTATGAAGTGCCTGAGAGAACATGCTGGTCCTTTTATGTACATAATCGCTAATTGAATACCAGGGGAGATATTTAACATTTATTCTGAACACAAACACATACACATACATACAAACCTTAAAGAAAACTCCTAACCTGTTAAACTATGCAGTAGTTAGTGTTATCACAGTATTTTCCAGGGGGAGGAATATGCAGGTGGAGAAAGGAGGGAATGGTGTGGAATGCTCTGAGGTAATCCTGCTCCAGTCAAACCAGCTTAGCCTTTTGTTAATGCAGATGTTTGGGCTTGAAGCCGAGGGTTTGTTGCAGGGTGGCACATTGCTATGGCAAAGTAGCGGAGAGCCCAGGATCCGTGTTGGCACTTGCCTGGTCGCCGTGGGACGACTCATTGTCTGAACCTGTATGCATTGTTGTCTCTCTCTCTCCCTCACTGACAGGTGATAACTACCCGGTGCAGTTCATTCCATCCACAATGGCAGCTGCGGCAACGTCAGGACTCAGCCCCCTCCAGCTTCAGGTATGTACAGAACTATGACAAAGAATGCTAGGGACGCCCGCCAAGCCCAGGGCAGGTTAAGCAGCTGTACGCTAAGTAATGAGCTGCATACTAAATAATTCTGGATGCCCCTAGCTCACCTACATCTATCACCTCACATATGTAATTTATTCTGTTTTACAGAGGATTTATCCTCACTAGCTCTGCCAGACAGAGGAGTAAGGAAGATAATAGTTATTAGAAGGAATGAGAATCACTTTGCTTGCCTTAATCACCAGCCAGTGAATTTATTAGAAGGCAATTGTCTATGTAAGCAGAGAATCTCCTAATTATCTAGTTAAATACTAGTATTTTGTTTATCCGTATAAGGAAAACAAATGAACAAGGAATGGACAAAAACCTGAGTCATTTTAATATGAACTTAAAGCTAACACATGGTGTGTAATACAGAGTGAGGGTGAGTAGGGGTTTCGAGCCACAAAAAATGTTGAGATAGGCTCCAAGCCCCACAGGCTCCTTCAGTATTTTTCTCACAGCATTTTAAAAAGGCTGAACCCAGGTCATAGCTTAACCTGGGGCCATAATGTTTATTATAGATAATTATCTACATTCAAGCCTTCAAGCTGTTACTAATATAAATGCTACTGTTACTATATATCCCTCAGGCTGTGGATGATTCCTTTGCGAAATACTGATTTTTATGTACATAAAACATATACAAGTAGCAATATGTGATGCTCAACAGCAGAAAGATGCGACAAGATTAAACAAGACTGAGGGGGAACTCTTGGCACAATGATATATGTGGTGTTTGTCCTTCGGTACCTACCACTGTCAGAGTTAGCAAATCTTGGCAAGTTCTTACAATATGTGCAGCTGGCTCTGAAAAGCTGTGTTCCATTATGCAGTCAGGAGAAGAGCTATCAAATGCATGTAAAGTGTTAAATGTGTTCATGAGAGTAAAAGATGGATGCTGCATAAGTGAATATGTTTCTGGAGTATAGACAGTATATGTTGCTTGGATTGTGTGTCATAGTGAGGTCCACTGGAATAGAGCAGTCATTTAGAAAGGCATGCTGAATCTATTTCTAGTGGTGTATGAGGTCAGATGAGACAGTTGTATATCTGAAGGTTGGGGTAGAGTCATTAATTTTGATTATGTATCTAACCCTGGGAATGGGCAAAAACAGTGCCTCCAAGACCATGACTTGGCTGACCTTTACAGAACACAGTAAACAAAAAGAGGTGCATTTTCCATTAATTGAAGTCTGTCAGCCTGTCACATATTCTGCCTGCTGGCTGCTATTTACCCTGCATAGACACTCCCCTTAAAACAGCAAGGCAAGTCAAACATGCCCTTTTCTACATAGCTGGGTTCAACAAACCATGTGACTGCCACCACTTCCTCTACAAAGCACTAGGAGTCTACTCTGATTAAAAACATCATATCAACCCAGATATGGAATGAAGTTGGAGTTGTCTTTTTCCTTTTAGAGCAATAATAGCATCAGACCTCTGTCTTGATCAAAATTCAACTATTGAAATGCATCCTTTAATATGTGTGTATTTGAAAGAGAGAGAGACTCATGAGTCCAGAAGAAAGAAAAAATGCTCTTCACAACAACAAAATCACAGCACAGTAATCAAAGCGGTTACTTCACTTGAGTTGAAACTAAGTACAAAACTCTTAGTCTGGCAATTAGTGCAGCGAAGTACAGTACTTAATGTTGATGCAACTTTTAATTTAAACACCTTTGGTAAGATTATTTGGATTAAAGCCACTATTGAAATAAGCTGATTTTAGGCTCCCATGCAAATATTTCCTATTACCCAATTATTGAGTTTATTTTTCATTCATCATCAAGCACACTATTCCACTAATACTTCAAATTGTCCTGAGCCTTTCTAGTTTCAAACCCATTCTTTATCTTCCTCAAACACACACACACAGATACAAAATCCTACACATACAGCTAAATATGCCCCCCCATTAAAATATCTCTTTTTGACAGTTGCATGGCAAGGTATAATTTTAACCAATTTACTCAGTTTAGATTGTGCAATATATGAACCTTAAAAAATTATCTTATTGGAAGAATTAATTCCCACAGTGCTGCAGAGGTAATATGATCAGCCATCCAGTCAGAGAGGCTAGTCGCTCCATCAGTCTTAATGTTGGCCACGCAGCCTCTTCACAATCTCCTCTGTCATAACAGTCTGGGTTCCTCCCCCATTCCCTGCCCTTTCTCTCTAAGAGAAGAAAACTCAACAAGGTAACAAAGGCTTAGAGCTGATGGATGTAAATGAATCTTCCAGGATACGTTTGAGTGTTGGAGACTGTAATTTGCTTGTCAATACAGGGTGGTAGCATCACTCTGGTGGCTGGCAGTCTGCAAGTGGCTGTCACCGAGCATTGCTGTACCACAGGGCAATTTCACTCAATGTTTCCCTGACAGATTGGCTCTCGTCCTCAACTCACAGGAGAGGAGGCGGGTAAACTATCCCAGCGCGACATGCCCCTCTTCATTAGTGCCCACACAGTGGCGGGATGAGCCCGGGACCAGCAGGAAACAATGGCTCCATCCCTGCCTGTCCTTCCTTGATTACAAGTGACACCTCTCACCTAACAGAGGAAATTGTACTTAGATTGTACCCCAATCTGTCAACACACTTACTATATTCAATTGAGTGAAGAGACAAGAGGGGAATTTCCCTAATTCCACAAAAGAATTTTCTATTTGGGATAGCATTTAATTTGCTGTTTGTACACTATACCTTGCCTCAGTTGCCAAGTGAAAAACAATTTAGCTAAGGCCAATATGAACTTAATATATATGGACCTGACCTTTTTCAAGAACTAGGAGACACGAGGACAATGTTTGAGAAAACCCTGTTTGTTATCATTGGAAGCAAACCAGCTTTATTAAGAAAATGCATTATTGGGTAAAATAGAACATCTGGGTTCTCTGTATGCACTATCACTGTTAGAACTAGAAAATCAAAAATGCTCTGCTTTTACAAGTCCACACATTGCTTTCTATCTCTTTCCATCTGTGTCTCACTGTCTTGCTTTTCCAGCTTCCTATCCACATCTCACACCATTTATAAGTGTCTTAGTTTGTGCATTTATCTCTAATTTCTTTCTCATTCTGCCTGATTGTTACTATTGCATATTTTTCCTTGAATCATTCAGGACCATAGCATTCTTATGTTTTACAGTATTGCAAGTCAAACTGCTTCAGTTAAAACTAAATGCTGCAATTACCATCCATCGCATATGAAATCTCTCTAGGCCTATGATAAACTCGTGCCCAGTTGCAACTCATGCTCCCACTAAAGATGAAAAGCAGCCCACAAGCTCAGCATCAACCCAGACCAGATCTCACGAAGACACATCTGAAGAAGTATTCAGTGGCATAAGATGACTGCAGTGATAAGAGAGTGTTATACAACCGGGGACAAATAGGAAGAAAGTGGGAAAGCAGCAAACCACGTTATCTTTTGTCTGGATGTAAATGCGTATTTAGTACAGATGTGAAGAAACGGCATCCATCATTAACAAGTGAAGCACTTTTGACTTTGAAAGAGAGGGAGAGGGGAGGAGGGGAGAAAAGAGAGAACAGACACTGTAGTGAGCAGCTGTTTCTGTGTTTATGAGAAGAGGGGCTTGGTCTTTGAAGGTAACCCGGAGCACTGCAGCAATGCTAGTTGTGTGTGGAAGGCTGGCTAATAGGATGGCTAGGCGAGCAGCTGGATAGAGGCAGTGGTGAACGGAGGGACAGATGGACAGATAGAGTGGATAATGCAGTCAGCAGCATTGAACGAGAGGGTTGGCTCTGTGGCCCCTGGGCCCACAGAAAGACACACACACTTACACAAAATGGCCTGTGTTTGTGTGCATGTATGCCAGAGAGCGAAACTGAAAGAGGAGTAAAAAATATAAATAATTATATTATATTAAATGTAAAAATGATAATTTATATCTCTATATATTTATCTATGCTGCAAATAGAAAAACAGAGAAAGGCAAGAAGAGGAAGGAGGGGTTAGAGCAGAGCAGGTTGGGTGCCAGCAGATGAGACAGATGTTGGACCATACTGGAAAGCATCGGCACAGTGCACCAGGTCGCCTTCCTCCACTCCTGACATCTGGGCCTAGCCTGGGTCAGCCTGCCTGGCCGCCTTGGGCAATGAGCCTATACAAGCCTTGTGGCAAACGAGGCTGGCGCTGTGCTGCCTTTTAAATGGTGTGGTGCACTGAAGCACAGTTAATGCCCTCCTACCCAGCCCAGGGCTCAGCACCCAGGCCAGGCAAAGGTGAATGAGACACTGACAGATGCAGTAGGCAAACAAACACATTTGCACACAAAGAGTGTGTGGAAGTCATCAGATAATAATTACTTCAAACAACATGCAGAGAATGCGTGTTATTTGAGGTCATTTTTAAAGGCCAATTTTTAGCTTTAAGGCAATTGTTTTTGTCTTTATTTTTATAATAATGTAGGCCACCGTTTAAATGTGCACTGCACTGTCATTGCTGGCAGGAAAAAATATGACAAATATTGTATCTGCCAGTGTATACTGCCATACTGCAACTGTGAAAAAGGTTTTCCTTTTTTTAATTCTACAAGTCGTATGCGCCAGTATGTGTCTGCTCCAGTGTTCTTTAATACAGCACATTCCAGTGTTTATAGAAGGAAAAAATATACAGTAGGTGAAATTTGGAAAATTTGTTTTTTCTCATAATTGATTAAACTGTGTAAGGAGACATTGTACAGTGTTGGCTTTTTTATTTGGCTAAACAAACAGAGGCTGCCCATCATAATTGCATATCATATATGTCTGGATGCCTAACATCATCAGCAGAGTGTGCAATCTCAATTTAATGTCACAGGCAAAAAGGTGATCCTCCCAGTTTAACCTCTGCTGCCTCCAGAGGGCTTGTTTTTAATTACCAGAGGCCAGCTAACTGACCTTGGGTGTGCTACACTCACTTACAATCCATGTTTGTTGTGATCTGCCCTGCTCTATTGGGAAACAGGGAAAGATGGTGTCAGAAGATTTTTTGTTTGTGTCTCCTCATATATGTGCTATTTCTGTATTAAAATTGTACCTTAAAAAAGGCAAGTCCTTTTGAAATGCTAAAAAACTAAGTGAACACATACTGTACTGTGATACAAGTTAGATATGCACACATTCCTATGTTTAGCCAGATTTCTTCTAACACTTACACTGTAACTAGCTATAATTTAATTTTTTATTTTCTACAAGCTGTACCTTAGTGTGGTGCAAAAGCAAAACAACTAGGGTTAAGAGTGTAGAGGGGAAAAGAGAAAAGAATGGAAAGAGAAGTGTCCTGAGCTCCACTCAGGCTTTCACCTACTCCTCCAATACCCCAGAGTCAGAGCATTGACTTTCAGCTTGACCCTCATTACCATGGACATTTTGCTGCCCCCACCTGCCAAGTAGATATGAAGAAGGGGCTATTAGATGTGAGAGTGTCAACTGGGGGAAGCAGCCAGATGTCTTCTGCTTAGAAAGACCAGTCTTGGAAGGAAGCAGCATCCCCTCAGCCTTTGAACCAAAATGCCTGTTACACTGACAACTTCCTGTAATGTTTTGTGAAGTTGTTGCCTCTAAAGTATGTGGTGGGTGTCAAACAATTTTGTAATCTATTTTTTGCCCCCCTAGCCATGCAATAATGCAAATACAAAAGCCTCCAGACTGCCCACAGTGAACACTGACATTTCATATGTGCCACTGGAGTAACACACCTTTCATCTCTTTTTTCCCACGATTGTATTTATTGTTCTTTGGGTCTTGGTTATGAGAGTAACCATTGCTTCCACCCTATGGCACTGAGCTGCTAATCTGTGCTGAAAAAGGGGCATCCTGACTGCATCTAATTTGAGGCAAAGTCTAATTATACTCTTTTTCCGGGACAATAAAGTTCTTCCCACTCAAAGTAAGGGGCATGCCCATCAACAGGCCTGTTAGCAAACATCTGTCCAACAGATTCAGTTTCCGCTCCTCTACTAGGACTTGCATGTAGCCCAGAGTGACAGACAGTGAATGAAGTATCCCCTCTCTCTCTTCCGCTGTCACTGTTTTTCCTCCCACTCACACAAACAGACACACAGAGTGCCTTTACTACTGACATTAAGTCTAGCTCACATGAGAAGAAAACAGAATTAGGTCCACTCCTGTGTCCATTTCTGTCAGAGACAAAAGACTGTTTGTAAGGGAGGTGGGGGCAGTGCTATCATTGTGGGAACATAATCAGTCTGTCATTTCCGCTGCCCATGTGCCGTTGTTATCCCCAGGTCCCCTGGAAGAATGAGCCTTTTGTAATGCTGCTTATGTGGCAGTGATAAAGTTTCTTACAGGAGCACATATGTGTTTATATCTGGAGATATGTGCATGGACATAAAGTGCTTTGTTTGGCTTTAGTCTGCATCTACACTGCCAAAGGTGAGGCCAGTGGGGCAGGGGTAAATTTTCCCTTCCATACAAATGTAGTCTTTATGTGGCCAGTCAAACTAGGAAACAAGACAGGGCTTGCTGATTGGCCAGAGGAAGACAAATTAGATTCTCCCTGACAGCACCATCTGACTGAATAACACAACAAACCATAAGGATTACCTAGTCTGAGAGGAGCAGGTCAGCGGGGGAGTTGAGGTACTATCTGTCTTATAAAGTGAGGTCTAAGGCTACATGGAGTAGTCTATTTGACAGACCCCTGCCATTTTCAGCTGGACATAAATGCGAATTTCATCACTGGTGGCCAGTCAATATAGAGCTGGGGCTTAAAGAAGACTTGGCAGTGTGGGAGCACTGGGCTCTATAGGTATAGAAAAACAAACACAAAATAATCATCCAGTTAAATCAGTCTGGAATTATTTGTTTCAGGTTTTAATGATATTAATACATAGGCACAAAACTCCATGTCAATATATTAAACTGTAACTTTATTAAGGATAAAGGAATAATTATTATGTCAAAAATCCGATGCAACAGACAATTAGCAGCCGTGGCTCCACAGATTTTCTCAAATGCTTCCAAACCCTCGTATCTCAGAGGTTTTTAACAACAGTTACGAGTATATGCCACAAAATCAGCCCGGTGATGGAAATGTAAACTGAACTTTCAAAATTTAACTCTGTTATAGGCATAACTGTTACTGAGTGCTTTGCCAGTGATTCAAACCACCCTCTTGTGTGGTAGCATCACCAACATCTTATTGATTTAATGCCAAGGAAAATAACAGTGATTACATCAGTGTTCCTTTGTGCAGGTTTCTAAGCCTTAATAATGCCTGTGTTAACATAGTCTGTGATGGCAATCCAACTGAGGTTGGGTTAACATTGTGGAATGGGATTGTCTCATACGGTGGTGTGGAGACAAATGACAGGCCAGAAACTTCAATGTGTAGATCCAGAGAAATGAGAGATCTTTGCTAACACACTTGCATCCAGTCGACAAACTTTTCTCTGTGATGAGTGGAAAATAGGGGCTCCAAGTATTTTGAAAGAAAGCCATCTCTGTGTGGTTTTTAAGACTGCTGTCTCTCTCTGGGTTCAGCCTTTGAAATACAGTTAAGACCTTTGATGGAGGTTCTATGCCAGCCTCATGGAAAGAGAGGAAAGACGTAAAAGGGGGGGAGGGGGGAGATGAAGGCAGACACAGAAGCAGAGAGTTCTCGAGAGAGGAAAAGACAGAATATAAAACTTTGAATGTTTACTGGATTTGGACGTTAATGCCTTGTGGGTTTCTTCACCTCCCTACAGCAACTGTATGCAGCCCAACTTGCCAGCATGCAGGTCTCTCCTGGAGCCAAGATGCCTCCACTCCCACAGCCCCTCAATGCTAGTGGACCCATTTCTCCCTCATCTCTGAAGAATGACAAGAGTTCCTCCAGCCCTATCACTCAAGTCAAGGTACAGCCCTCAGCTCCTTCAACCTGCACACCCACCAGGCCAGGCCTTGAGTGATACTTGACCTAGCCTAGCCTAGTTGGTGTTGTCTAAATAAACTTGCATCAACACTGTACACTACTTCAATGTTACAGCTGGTTGGTGCTGAGCCCAGCCTTTTAACAGGCCATCAATCTGTGTGGCTTTAACAAGGCCCTCTCTCTCTTTACCAGAACCCTGTGACATGGTTACTAAGGTTATTGCAGCTCCGATCCAGCAATTGTGGAACACATGAGGAGATATTTACTAAGGCTCTGAGGCTCATTTTGTGGCACTGAACAGTGAAATTGCATTTGTCCATATTTACTAAAGTGGCACTGCAGGAACTTACGTGTTGTCTCATGCAAAATGTATTTTAAGGTGTTCCTGTTGAGGAATGTAAAAATAATAGAGGAGAGAATTGAAATTTATACATACAAATACTCTCAGCACTTGATTTGCCACCACTGTGACAGAGGTGCATGACAGCTGTTAGTCATCTGAGATCTCTTTGGATTTAAGAACATATTTGAGGACAGAGAGGATATCTGTAAATCACACTAGAGGAGAACGTGAGGGACTTTTACAGGTTTTCAGGTCAAACCATGCTTCAGTTACTGAACAAAACAAAAGATGATGTGACTGGCAGAAGACTATGTGACTGCAGTTCCAACAATGTTTGTTTGATTTCTTCAACCATATAAAAGTTCAGTCATAAGAATTTTTTCTATGCTTCCACTCGGTCCACAGGTGCACATACAGGCACTGCATCCTAAGTGGAGGTGTATTCAAATTAACACTGCTGCACGGCACTCATTTACATCATCAGTGTTAGTAAATATACCGCCAAATTGAAAAATTGTGCTGCCACAATATTTAACGCATTGGTAATTTGCAAACCGTTTTTAGGGTATATCGCCAAGTTTTTAAACGTATTGTTTTTTGGTAGCTCAAATGGAATAAACCATTACAACTGTGCGATGCAGATGCTGTTAAAAGTGAATTAGAATATAGGAGTGATGACATTTTTTTGTCTTTTATACAAACAAAATGCAGATGTGTGTTTTCTGCTGTTGTATGGCATGGTTCCACTAAACCTCCATGCAGAGGAAAGGCTATATACATCATCCCCACTCACTAAACCTATAATCAGTAACATATGGCCATTTGGACTAGTTTATCTTAATAACAACACACTGGAGAAAGAAAGAAAGTGTCTTTAAATGTTAGGAAGGAACTCTGGATTTCTCTTCACACACACACACACACACACACACACATTTGTTTTCATTCCTTATGGGGACTTTACATTGACTTACATTCACTTACCCTAACCATAACCATTGGGACCACTCACCTAAACGTAAGCCTAACCTTAATTTAAACCTAAGATTACCCTGACCTTAACTCGAGTGGGAACCAGCATTTGGTACATACAAGGAAGGCCAGTCCTCATGATGTGAGTGTGCAAACAGGTTTCAGCCCTGAAAATTTGAGTAATACCAAGTGCACACGTACGTTCACACACAATGCATCAGGTCTGCTCTCTCCTGGGATGTCCACTGAAAGACTCCCATCAAACTGAATGAGCGTTGCCATCTCATTAAACGAGTGCAATGATCTATTTAACAGTGAATTATCCTAATATGACCAAGTCAAAATATTGCAAACATTTGCCAAATATTACACAAAGAACGGCTGTAAATAAAATCAATTATATATAAATGGAACATACACTGGCATCCTGCCATCTGTAACCACAGTTCAGTGGAATTAGTTTGCTTTTAGTTTTGTTTGTCTGCTCTCAGCTTCACTGCATGACAAACTGTTATTGGCACAGCAATAACAAGGCCTTAGGGCAGCCTATGCTTGAGCCATATGTTTGGACAAGGAGACACTTGGGCTTTGAAAAATACTGTTAACAACGGTACTTAAAAGACGGCTGTATAAACAGGGCAATTTATATTGTGCTAAGTGACATTTCTCTTCTGGGATGCAAATGTTCATTATTTTGCCATATTTGTTGCATTACTATTCATTAATTATATAATTATGGATTGATGATATTTAATTTTAATATTAGGGTGAAAAAATGCAGCTACTCTGCTTAACTTCTTTTCATTTGCTTGAGAGACTCAAAACAAACTGACATCATAAACTGCTCCTATCTACACTTCTCTCCTCCCATCAGCTTTTCTTTCCTGAAGTGTTGACGTAAACTGCAGATGCCTGGTTATTATAAACTGTACAAAATCAGCCTCAAGTCCAAAGCTGACTAATTAATACAATAGGTTTGACAGTCCCGTAGAAAGTGACACAGAGCACTAAGGTTACACAAAGCTTGAATTAATCCCAAATTAAAATAATATTAAATAAATACAATAGTAAAATCACAAATTTTACCAAAACAAGCAACTTTAAATGCTGACACACAGAACATTACATCTGAATCAGATTGGATCCCTTTCGCTAGGGGTCAGACGGAGCAAATGTTCAACCCGTACTTTGAAAACACGATTTAGAAAAACTGGAATAACAACAGAAGTGCTGTATGTCGCAAGGTGCCATGAAGGGGAGAGGGGGTAGTATAGTGGAGAAACACCCCATCCAGTCCCATTTTCAGACATTGTATAAAATCTTAGTTTATACACCTTTAAGTCTATTTCTTCTTATCTTTTCAAAGCAACACAACTACTGTCACAGATATTCAGGTTTAACTCATATGGGTATCTTGAGATTAGTTTTGTTTTCTGTGTATTTATCCTTCCTTTAAGAGTTCAGTTTTTTAATCTTTTTAAGCAAAGGAGCAGGTTCTGAAATGCCTGACCTCTGCCTCTCATTGTTTACCTCCAGGTAGCCACAAAGAAAACATGTTTGGTCCCAGTTGACAAACTGCTAAGGATGGAGAACAGCAGTCTTTATTTCACATCAGTAACTGCTCTAAAGGTTGTAAACAGTCCAGCAAATACAGCAATAAACACAGTCATCCTCCTCTGACCTCTGCTCAGAAGTACACTATTGAGTTTTTTTTTAGTTTTTTTTTTTATCACAACATAACATTTTTAGGAATAGCCATATCAAATGATAAAACCAAGTATGCACAAATGAGGAATGAAATTAGAAAACAAGTTAATGAAGTAGATAATGTAAGTCGACATCTGATGAATGAAACAGCTGTCTTTGATCACTGGCACCGCCATTATCTGGTCATTATTTATTCTTCAAACCAGAGTGCAGATACAGAGAGAAGGGAGGAGGTGAGGGAGAACAGATGAAGATGTACAGAAAGACAGAATCTGCTTTAATTAGTCTGAACAAAGGCGCTGGGCAACTGTGAGGAGGATCGCGGTGGCACAGCTCCTAGGGAAGGAAGGATGGATGAGGAGTGGAGTGAAGAGGGAAAAAAGCAAAGAGAGGGAAGAACCAGGGAGGAAGTGTGGGTCAGGATAGGGATCCTATAATTAACTAGGAACAGAAGAGAACTGTGCTGTCTGGGAATCCGGAGGTCCTCCAAAGGGGGTGGGGTGGGGGTAGGGGGGCACCTATTCATATCTGTCTTCTCTCATACTCCTATCTCTGCTGCCTTAGGAGGAAGGAACACAGCCGCTCAACCTGTCTGCGCGGCCAAAGACGACAGAACTGGTCAAATCCCCTACATCGCCAACACAAAACTTGTTTCCCGGCAGTAAAAGCAGCCCTAACAATCTCATCAGCAAGGGTAGCATCCCCAGCCCACTCGGAGGAGGCCTGGCCCGGGGCTCATCTCTGGGTAAGGCCTCAGCGTGTCTCCACTTCACAAAAACAAGAGCCCACACATATACACAGATTTGCTCTGTTCAAACACACGTTTACAGTATGTGTTCACATCCTGGGAAACCACACTGCAAGATTCTGGTACATAATATTTCACAACTAAAATGCCACTCTCAAGACATCGCATGTTGTTTTTCCCTTTTGGTATTGTGTTCTAGAAAACAAGGCTTGCTGTCCAAACCTCACTGTGCGTGTGTTTGTGTGTACAGATATTCTGTCGAGCCTAAATTCTACTGCACTGTTCGGGGACCAGGACACGGTGATGAAGGCCATCCAGGAGGCTCGAAAAATGAGGGAGCAGATCCAGAGGGAACAGGTGCAACATCACCAGCAGGGCATGGAGGCAAAGCTGTCTGCCCTCAGTTCAGTGGGCCTCAACAGCTGCAGAGTTGACAAGGTTAGGACTACTATCATATAGTCTGTTGCTGTGTTATCCCCGTGCAGGTCTTATCCATTGCAAGCTTTTTCCATTAAGCAAAAAAAAAAAAAAGAAAAAAAAAACAAAAAAAAAAACAAGCAGTTGACCACAAAGAGTATTCAGCTCTCCCTGCAAGTAGTGGAGGAAAGAAACTATTAAAGAAAGTGGAACATGGTGATTTTAATATAACAGCAATTCTTAAAACTCATATTTCTTTTAATCCATGTCCAGGGTGGCCGTAGTGATAAGAGCTGGCATAGTTCAGTGTGTACATGTGTGTTTATTGAAATTAGCAGGAATATGTTTGTGTGTGTTTAGAAGGCTTCGTGTTGTTAATGTTGGTGTGAGGGCCTTGAAAGGCCACGGCAGTGCCCGGTGTGGGTTAAGAAGACTCTGAAGTCTCTGCCCAATTAAAGCAGACTTGCAGCCCTCTCCGTCCCCTGACACGGGATGGGACTGCTTTGTACCAGGAGCACACACTCCCAGGGATTCCCTTTAAAAATATCTTCAATCGATGAGTCAATCAAGGAGAGAAAAAAGCTGTCCTCCTCTCTTCAGCTTGATGCCACGTTGCCAGTTGGCTGTGAGGAGCAGGCAGGAGCTGGGAGCGATGCTCATTAATATTTCAGCACCTGACACTTTCAACCAACAGCTTCAACTAGGTCAATGTATATGTAAAACAGTCAATGAATATCTATTTTGATTTCCCTCTAATTCGGCATTTGGAAGAGATCACTGTCTATGCAGGTGGCCATCAAATATGCTCTTACTGAAGTGAAGCAAATAAATCGGTGCAGCCCACAGAGAAAAGAGAGACGGAGCCTCTGTTGTACTTACCCATTACTAACCAGAACAAAAAAGATCTTTGTAATAATGAATCAATCCATGACATTGCTTTTGAACCAGTAAATAGCTGTCATAAGTATTTTTTTCTATCATTGTTGAGTTACAACATAGTATGTGAAAGTTTTAGCATGAGTAAGCAAGCATGTTGCTGCAGCAGGAGGTGGTACAGCTGCCTCCCAGACTCCCAGCTAAGGTGAGGCTGTGGTCAACCAGGCAGCCGAATCTGCCATGACATGAAAGCAATAACTGAACAATGCCTGTATAGAGCCATTTTCAACAGACAGCCCACACCTACATTCACATTGTCCTTAGCAAGCAGAGCTTAACGCCTCTTTACTCCCTGGTTCATGTTTGTAGGATATTGTTTAGTTTCCTTTGAGTTTTGGACTTACTGTAGAAACTATCTCACAGGAGAAGAATGGCCCTCTTTTCTTTGCCTTTTTTCCTAAAGTGATTCTCTGTTTGAAATAATCAGTCAGTCCTCATCTGCAATCTACCTTTTGTCTGTGTTTGTGACCTGACAAAAGTTTTTTTTCTTTTTTTATTTTAAAGAAAAGGATTGAGAAATGGAAAGACAGGTCATGTGTGTGCATGTGTGTTTGGGAGAGGGTAAGAAAAAAGGTCATAAAGTGAAATACTTTTTTTTTTAGAAATTTACTAGAGAGATGTTGATATTTATGACACAAAAATGAAATACTTGATAATAATTAGAGTATGGTCAGGTGAAAATTGTGATTATTGCTTAACTACAACTCCTGATTTCTAGCCCTTGAGGCCCTAAACACATGCCTGTTTGTGTGTGTGTTTTGTGCAAAGACTTACAATACTAATATCAATAACTGAGAACATCACCTCAGGTGATATGTTTCTGTTTCTATTTCAAAACGGTTTATATTAGTATGTTGTCTTGCTGAATGATGCCTTCATTAAGCTCATGTTTGACTCTTGTCTTGTGCAAATCATATTGAGATTGTCACCTTTTAGTTTCAGTAACAGTAGTCCTGTTAGGATGGTGTGAATTTAGTGGCTCGCCATGTCAAGTAAGCTAAAAGAATTGCCCCATCATCTTCATCCTCCAGCTGCAATAAAGAAGAGTAGGTTGTAATTCAAATGAGAAGGAAGAACAGAAAGTATTTTGCTGATATGGTCTAGAAAGGTGAAGGTCCCAGATAAAAGGTTTCACTTTGGTCAGTTTCAGAATATTAATATTTCCAGAAAGCGCCTCACCTGACATAAATATGATGTGGTGTTTAATAGCTACCATCCCAGTCTCCTATTTGGAAGTTTATCATAGTGAGAGCTTACATGAGGAAGATTCTGGAAAGGTAACATAAATGGGATTAAGGAGAGGTTAAGATCATCCAGTATGGCTGTTAACGGGGGATATTAAATATTGATTTATCCCAGTGTAATGACCGGGCAGAGGAGTGGGTCTAAGTGCTGCTTACAGATGGATCAATTTATCTTTTCATACAGAGTATGTCTGAAGAGTACAATGGATTCCTCCCTAACCTTTATCATTACGGCTCTCTCCCCCCTCTCTTCCTGGCCACTGAACTATGAGAACATGGTGTAGATCAGCCTTCAAACTGATGACATGTAAATATATTCATGCATTAGAGGAGCATATTTGTCTGTTTTTACTATATCCCATCACTGCAATAAAGCCGTTGACAACTCATCTGCAATGTACCTTTTTGAAATATTTATCTAAAGGTATTATTGTCTGCAGAGGGCAATTACTTTGTTCCATTATTTACCATCTCCTCCTAACACAGTGGAAGCTTTTACCTACAGTAGAATGCACCAGTATGCCTACAGTCAAATACAGTACATCTGAATCCATTTGTAACCATTTGAATCCCTCTAATATGCACTGTAGACATAAGTGGGCATGCTAGTTTTAGGGTGAATAAATATCAAACATCTGTATTTGTATGTTTTCACACAGATATAGATTCAACCATGCTGCCGTATTGACAGCAGCATTTATGACCTCAAAAACAGAGTTCACCTTTGGTGATAAACAGTGAAAATGAAAAGAAAAAAAATCTAAAAAATAACTGATGCCATGCAACCCTCATTGTATTCAGGCAGTACATGCAGATTACATAACTAACTGGTATAAATTTCTCCACTTTAATGAGAAAGCAAACAGCAAAAGCCAAAGTCTAAATGCATTTTACTCTATCATCTATCTTATCACTAAAAACTGCTCAGGTGTGGCCACATAGCTGCATTGCCAGCACACTTCCAGTGCTGTAGGTACTACTACATCAGCCTGTGACTGATGATAATATGTAATTGTAAGTTGTAAATTGTCTGTTAATGAGTGGACGAATTCACAGAAATTACAGTCATAGAAGAGTGCTAATTTGATTTTCTGCCTTAGAAACTTTTTTCTTTGTCACAAAACAAAACAAAATATACTTTCACATCGTAGTTCAAACTATTAGCACTCATCTGTGTTATACACACATTAGCAAGTCCCTGACTCAGGTGCTGTCCAGTGTGACAGTTAGTTAGTAAAAGCACAACAGAGATGAAAGTCAGCCACTGGCTAAGCAGAGAGCTCAAAGTATTATTAGACTTTGGGCCAGTGACAGATCAGTCATGAGGGTCAAATCTGTAGTGTATTGCCTCTGGGGTAATCATTATGCTTTGTTGTCAAAACCTGTATAGTCAGTTATGACAGATTTCTACACTGATGCATTCATTTCTCTTGCTTTAGCGTCAATAGCTGCTGCATATGTGATGCCCTTGAGGTTATGTGAGATAAAATATATTCCTCTGCTGACATGTCCCTAACTGGAATCAAAAGGTGAAAGGCCAGTGTATTAACCTTATTGAACTGCCCTTTTCTGCCCCACAACATTTCCTCTCCTCAGTATTGATGATTTCAATTGTCCATTTCCCGTATCGCAAAGCTCAGCCTGTAAATATTCAAATGGAGCTTAAACTGGTGCTCCACAAAATCCAGACTCCTAACCTATTGGTTATAGTAGTTATATTATTCCTTCCTGTGTATGTGCATGTGAGTACATGCATACATGTGTATACATGTGCATGCATGTGTATGTGTGTGTGTATGTGATGCCAGGACTCTATTCAGGCAAAGCCCTCACAAAGACTTTGAATATAATCTTGTCTGGTCTGCAGCCCTGGAAGCAATTTTCTGCTCCTTTTCGACTGCTGTCTTGGAAATTGCAAACCAAGGCGTTTTGGCTGCAATGTAAATCCTTGGCATACAAGGGTTTGCCCATCCAAATTAGATTATGCTCAGCTCCCAGACACTGGCTGTAGCCAGCAAGTGCTATTGTGAAGATTGCTTACATTAATGCTTTGTCCAATTGTTCACATTTGCCAAAGGTATAAAAATAATGTATGACTCTGAATAATATGTGCCTGTGCAAGTGTGTGTGCTTGTGGGCCACTGTCCTAGGTCAGGTCTTTTCCTCTGTCTCGCATCTACCCCAGAAAGACATCAAGGCTGCATCTTGGTAGGGTCATTTGGCAGTGGTAGCTCCATTATTTTCTACAGTTGTCATAGTAAATGGTGAATTTCTGGCCTGCGGTAGCTGCTCGGAAATGTTGCTGGCCTTGGTGGCTAAGACCTGTGATGCTGCGCTCACCACAAGGCATATACAACAAAGAAAAAAGAAAAGAATAGGCCACAAAAGGCCCATTTATAGTCTTTGGTATTGTTGCAGTAGGAGCATAATGGCTTCAGTGTCCAACAGGTCTTTAGGTTTAGTTCATATGTGAAAGGGGTTTTGATAATGCTACCATTTCTAATATCCTGCTGTTTGCAACCTGGAGGTAGACAGGAGATTTCAGCAAACAGTTCAGGGTCACAGCAGTGTGGAGAAGAACATAAGAACTGAACATGGTGATAGAAATGTGTCACAGTGCTATGATTATATATTACATCTGAGTCTAATTCTGGAAAACATTTTTCACTAAATAAAATAGTCGCATATTCAAAATTATTTAAATGTTCCAAAGTTGATGTGCAGGTTTGCAGAAGAAATCTACTTGTTTGAATGCAAATTTTACACTTACAGTCAAGGATCACATTTTCTGTGTTTGATTTATTTTCCTCCAACAAAAATAACTCATCCTGTATAATGATAGCATATCCTTTTAATAAAAACAAAAAATAAGCATTAAACTGGCATAAAGCCCAGGGGTTAGCTCACCATTTTTTAAGCTCCTTAATTTAATTAAAAGGCTTTCTTCCCTCTGTTTTAAACAAATGAGGTGAAGCCCTTGGTTTACAAATGGGACTGGAATAGCTGCCATCTCTGCTCTGTGTGACGTTGAGGATGACTACTATAGAACAGATGCCAGCCTTTTGTGGCTGGGGCTGTGGCTGCTACTGTTGATTCTGCTGCTGCCTGCATTAGCCTTAGCAAAGGGAAAGCTCTGGGTAAAAAGAGAGCAGCAGCCTGCATGAAAGGAACTGTGGGTTTACCGCATGGTTGGATGTACTTGACATTTAAATGGTTCAAAACTAGCAAAAACTACTGGAAAACTGCAGAGTTATAAATAACATTGCAACTAGTTACAACAAAAATACAAAACAGATGAGGTGCTGAGCTGTGAGGAGCTGTAGCCATGTTAAAGTGTACTGTTTGTTTCCATCAGGGCTGGGGCAGATTGTTGATAGGCGGGGCTTAGTACGAGATCCTCAGAGAAAAGGCTCTGACCACTACAGACCCCAGTGATGATGAGTGACACTTAACATGCAAAACCTTTTATTGTGGTCGGATGGGCACTGCCTTCAACTTGGCTCATACCTGGTGTTCAATATAACCAGAGCTGGTTCAGCTCATTATCAAACATAAGTGGGTTTTTTTTAGGATTCTGCAGCTGTTAAAGGTTCCAGTCATAACAGTTTTAATCATATGCGATAATTTACCTTCCAATGTGAAGAGAGCTCAGAAAGTACAGCAGCTTTCTGCTGTCAAATTTCACTGAAGGGCTAAGCATGTCATTTACTGTATACATGTACTGTATATCCTGTATGGCCAAAAATAACCAGACTACTACAGTATACATGTCTGTCTTTGATTTGGTAACTGCTAATATTTGGAGGGAATAAAACGTATCATGCCTGCCAGCTGCCTGAGAGAAATGAGGTGGTTTTCTCTTTAAATAATCATTTTAATGTCAAAATGTTGTATTTAATCTGTGCCTGTATCATCTATCTTATATTCTTTTCAACATACACTCAGATCATTTTGTTCTCAACTTCACATACATTTGAAGAGACAATTTGTTTAATTCCTACCAATGATAATGAATAAGACAGTAATAACAAAAAAGAATGTTTTTGACCTGGCCCAGAAACTTGTAATGCACCAGTCACCAAGGCCTGGCTTGTCCATTTTCATCACCATATCAACTCTTATGTAAAAGTTAAGTGTCCAGACCTCTCAGCCATGACTACTGTCTGGTGCAGTTAAGTCCCTATTCACCTTGATGGAGCTCTTTCATTAGATCAACAGCATAATGGAGTTTTTCCACTCCCAAAAAGCAGATGACATCTGTGCATCAGTAGTGCATCAGTTTCTTATGATGTTAAGTGAAATCATCCAGATTAAGGCTTGAGTCAACATCTCAGTGAACTGCACGCCGCTCTGCGCCACAGTATACCTCATGAATGTGTGTGTGTGTGTTTTTTTTTTATCTGTATTTGAACAATCTCAGGCCATATGGCTTTGATAAAATAACCTAGAGTTATTTACAAAGGAGTGTCAGGATTGGCAGTGTGTTGTCTAAATATAGGGCAGGAGTAGGCACAATACACAGGGCAATCCACCACCAGCCTCTGCTCAGAATACACCCTGTGGGCAGAGCAGCAGGCCTCCGGCACATGTTCTGTGGCTGGCCAGATTAAAGCTCTCTTTACAGCATTGACAACAGCTCTTTTGGGTTCCCTCGCCCAAGAAGTTCCACAAACTGTCCTAGCTGTCCTCTTTCTACTACCTCAAGTGACTCACAGCTTCACCGGACAAGCTGGTGACTTCACTGCAGCTATGTGCAATTGAACAAAATGCATTTGTTACCAAACTTTAAAGACAAAAAACTGCACAGACAGGGCAGATGAAATTATTGCGGGCGGCAGTTTTCCACTATAGCTCGAAGCGCACTGCTATAATTTTAGTTGTGGGGTAGAGAGCTGCATGCTGAAGTCATTTGAGGGAGGGAGCAGCTGTTGGCCAGTGGTTGTGGTCAGAGTAGGAGGAGAATGTGTTCTGTTACATTTTTGTTTCCTGTCTCTTTATCTTAACATCTTCTCATTATGTTTGGCTTGTTCTTTCATACTCATTTTATTTATGGAACCTTTTGTTTTAAAAGGCCTTTTGGCATTTAGCAGAATTAAGCTTCTGTATTTTTCTGTTTAAAGTGCATTAATGTGTGTTAATGTGCATTAGAAATACATTTTTATATTATCCATATACTGATTTGCTCCCTCTCTTTTATACTCATTCTTTCTTTTCCTGGCAGGAAGGCCAGCTTTCCTGTGTCCGAGTGATCAGTAAAAATTTAATGACACTATAAAATAATAAAAGTGTCATCAATTTATCACAGCACTTGATGCTTGGGCAGTAAAGAAGCATTAATTAGCTAAAAACTTTCCAGCCTTAAAATAAACTCTGATGCTGTACAGATAAGTTATGGCCATGATTTCAACTATAATTCTAATTCACGGATATAAATTGCTAAACTTATAACCAATAACTATATTAAGCTCAGTATATAAAATTTTATTAAAATCTGTGGTACCATATTGCACAGACAGTCTAATATTAATTTAGCATAGCTACATGTAGCACAAGGAAGGAAGAAATACTTACTGCACAATAACGACACTGTTATAGTACTGTATGTAAAATGCTAGCTCATATAAAGTAAATGGGCATGTTTTCTATATAACTACAGTTCTTATAAAGGCAAATTAAGTGACACCACCTCAAAGAATGCTCAAACAAACATTTCATTCAGCTATCTAATTTGCTGATGTTACCTAATCATAGGACTTTGTGCAGTTTAGAAAGAAGTTGAACACTGTGCTAGTTATTAATGAAATGCAGTGATGGATGGCCCCTGTTCTCTCTCCTTCTGAGCCCAACATGATGCTTAATGATCATGAGTTTATAAAAGGACTTGACTGATCAGGAGGGATCAACGAAGCGCAGAAGAGGGACGAGATGACTACTTTATTACAGACACACAGTACCCCTGAACACTGTGTCTTCCTGGTGGACTGTCCAAGTAGCATCTGAAGCAGCACCATTGCCCATCCAGCTAATCACACATCAGTCACTTTGTCATCGGGCTGCTAGCTTCTTTCATTAAGAGCAATAATGTGGCTTGGTGATGAATACGGCTCTGTGTGCGTGCACATGCATGCTCACGCATGTGTTGCTTTACACAGACTGTGACACTGAGAAAGGCATCATACTCCATCTTCTCTTTACAAAGCATCCGTTTGCCCAGCGGGGACCACCACATGTCATAATTAGAAAACACTTAAGTAAGCAAAGGGCCGTCAGATAGACAGGCTCTAATCACAGGCCATAAGCAGGTAGTGGTTAATTGTACATCAGAATCACTCAGCTGGCCATAAATAATGACTGCTCCTTCAAGTCTGATGGTAAATTGCAGTGCTATTTCTGTCTCTATCGCAGTCCTTTCTTTTGAGGACTAGTTCTTGAATAAATAAAAGAATGAGGAAAATCAAAATACTGTGAAAGGCCTCAAATGGACTTGAACCATCTTCCTTCATCTTATATTTTTAAGCCCTCAAGAAAAAAAGGTTATACAAAAAGAAAAACATTTTAGACAAATAGAGTTTTTTTTATTTTATTATTTTTTGATGTTCTGTAATTACTGATGGCTATTGTTGCCCAAATGATTTTGTCAGGAAAAGATAACACAATAAATCAAATACGACTGTAAAAATAAACATTTTCACTTACAATGGTTAGGTCTACTTAATTTTTTAGCACCTTCTCCTATTAGTAGATGGGAGAACTTCCCTGGAGGGGAAAAGTGAAAGACAACAAAATGCTTTACAAAGGAGAGGCTAAAAAATTAATGTTAGACTGTATAGCAGGGGAGCTGTTAGTACTGTGCAGTGACTCTACCTGAGTATCTGTTCAAACTGCATGTGATAGGCATGTTTAGAAAAGAAAGAGGCAGAGGTCACTGCAGGCAGTACATCTTTGGCAGAGATTGAACACTCACCCTGAGAGTAAAACAAATGCGTTTTTCTGAATGGTGGCAACATGCCGGCTTTTAGTGTCATCCAGGCAAAACCTAGGGGGGGGAAGAGATTATTTGTATCATGCAGAGTCAAAGTGTCCATCTCCTAGTTGAGTCTTTAGAGAGGAAGACAGCCCTTTGCTAATGCCCTGTGTATTCACCAAGGAAGTAGGTCATTCAACAATGGAGCCAGCAGCAGTCGGCACTCTCCCCTTGCATAATACATTAAGTGTAATGTGCAGCAACAATTCAGAGCCCCCTCGAAAGCTGTTATCTTATTCTGTAAATGCACATGGACATGACATTTAATATAGTCACGGAGTGCTGAATGACAGGGTTTCATTGTGCGTCAAGTACAACATGATGCCAAGTTTAATCTGAGCACAAAGTGACATGACAAACAGGAAAACACGGTGTGTTCTCCAAAGCATGAACTCTGAATAAATGATGGCCGCTGAGCTCTGGGCACTGCAGACTGGAAGAGAGGATGTAAGAAGAAGATTACAGAGGAAAATCTGAGCACAGCAAAGAGGGCCACGGCCCCATTGTGTGCTTGGGATCACAAAGTATCCTTCTGTAAATCTATTTACAGCACCCCTGGCCCTCACTGTCTCTCTGCCTCCTGTCATCCATTATAGCAGCTGCTGAATAGAGAGATGAGAGAGGAAGAAGCTACATCTAGCTCATGTCAAAAGAGCAGCTCTTCAAAAGAACCTCCATTTATCAAAGACACTTTTTTTCTTCTCAAAATTTCAGGTTCCTGATGGGGTTATTTTTTACAATTTTATCACTGTAAAAAACGTGTATATAAGTGCTTTTTCTTGTACCTGACTGTTTGTATTTCCTTGTAGGAGAGGGCGCATTTTGAGAGCATCGGGCACCACCTGAGCAAGCTGGGTGAGGAAGGGAAGATCGGCCACAGAGTTATTGACCTCACCAGACCAGAGGATGTAGATGGTAAGGTCATTTTGGAGTTTCTCTCTTTTATGTTATCTCATGTAAGTATACAATAATTGATTGCTTTGACTTGAGAGATGATTTTATGTTTATACAAAAGTCATACAATTTCCCTAAAATTTACTGCAAATTCTCAGCTAACGTGTTACCCATGTTGATTGGAATCTATACAGTCTAACATAACTCTATACTATAGCAAAAGCAGTTTTGATGGCTGGTGAAGTCCACAGCTCCACGTCTCAGTATTGGATGGCAGATTGGTATGTGCAGAAACTTGTGCGTGTGTAAGAGAGATGTGGGGGCTGGGATAAATGCCGTTTGAAATGAGCCGTAGCCTTGAGGTTTTCACAGGTAGGTGAGTGCAGGACAAGGGTGCCTGAGGACAAAGCTGGCTTTTTTTACATGCTAGGCTCCTGTTCCTGTTGTGCTTGAAAATTCAAGTAGCACTGGTGTGACAAAGCGTCATCTCCCTTTGTGGCATTGGTTTCTACACAAGAGCAAAGGAGTACATTGGTGCACCGGTGTTTGTCCAACATAAATATTTGTGGCAGTTTCCATGGAACTTCAGAGTCAGCGCAAAGCAGATTCATCTTTGATGCCTCAAAGAGAGTCAAGTCAGAGGGATAGATATTTCTCAGGACAATGTAACCCATCAACAACTTTAAATAGCATCTTAGACACACTTCCCATCAGTTTTTAGAAAGAAATGCTCCTTCAAAATTAGTTCACATAGACATTTATATAAAAATATTACTTTCCCAAAAAATGTTTACCATCTCCAAAGCAAATGTAAAGCAAATTTAATCATGTGTAGTTTCACATCACACCCAATGCTGAGGCTGAGAATTGGAGGTACATTTAGCAGATTCGTTGACATATTTCCCATGTGAGCTACAGTAGCAGATCCCATCCCACTCATCTGACTCCTGGGACAGATGTGCTTCCAGTGCTCATTCTCCCAGCGGGGACCTTCACTCTGTGGCTACTGTGGAGTCGGGACTGAAACAGAGCACACACTAGGGCAGTTGTGTCCTTTTAAGTCCTGCTCAGGGCAGAGGGAAAGGCCTTGCGCCAGACGCCTCACATCAGTGTTCCCAGTGGGCTATGGATTAGGAGCAAGAAAAGGTTAGAGGAGAGGAGAGGTCCTCTTCCCAGGGGGAAATGAATGAGAGCCAGGGCAGTACACATAGCCCAAAACACACATTTCTCTTATACCACAAATATATTTGTCTGTCTCTTTCAGTTTCACCAACAGAAAAATACATAGGGCTGAATGATGTGAAACAGGGTTTTATGATGTGAACCACAAAGTGTTTACTCTTCTGAGAACATTTACTTTGAAATCCTCATTGAGAGGATTTTCTCCTCCTTGAACCAAGGGAGGCTTGGCTCCCTGGCATAGCATGATATATAGAAGCATGCAGGGTCTACATAATGGCAGCTTATTTGTGCTCTCATTAATACCATAGAAAACATGCTGATTTGCACATCAAAGTTCATACAGATGTTAAAATCAGTTTTTTTTTTTAAGTTAAACTTACATATTACAATTGTTACATAAAATATATGTAGTTAGGATCTGCTTCACATTAAAATACAGCAATTTTTATAATTCCAGTAATGGTCACCCTGAAGACTAAAAATGTTTACTACACCCAGATGTATCCAAGTGTTAACCCAAAGATCAAGACATACAAATCACCAAATCAATGGGACTTTACTGTTGACTTACTGTTGTAAGTCATAAATATACTCATTTTTGGGACTAGTTTAGTACAGAACTACAGAAATTAAATTTGAATTTCTGTATTTCAACACACTTTTCCTTAAAAGCTCAGAACACATTGCATATAGCTTACTGTTTCCTGAAAAGGAAAATTACTGGGTGTACCCACCAGCCCTTGCATTGGGTGTGAAACCCCTTTGGTGCGTAGCAGCTTTTCCTCCAGAACAGAGCAGCCACATTGAGCACAGTGGACTTCTGTCATCACTGCGTTTCACAGAAGGCTTTAGGTTGCTTCAGATAATATTTGCAAAGCATGAAGCAACCAAAGTTATTACGTCTGAAACGGGTGGGGGGGTGGATAGAATATACTTCATTTTACCAAGCCACGAGCCACATGCATGATCTTACCGCAAATTCATTAGATCTTTTTAAGCTCTGATGAAGACATTACTAAATACCACAAAGGCCTCAGCCTAACCAGACGTTTTGTTCATTCACATATGGCAGTATGGGGTTTTCTGTGTAGCTGAGGTTGTGTGTTTGTCTAAACCGCCCCCATGAGGGTACGCAGAGAACAAAGAAGTTGCTGAGAGATGTGTGGAGGCAGGAAACAGAATTATTTTAAATGGCCAGCATGATAATATCAACCAGGCAGTGAGAAGAGATGAGGCTTTGGCCAAGCAGTGTCTCTGATAATGTTCTCATGAAGTAACATGTTGCATTAGTGTTGCAGAAGTTTTTAGTGTTGTTGAAGTTTTATCTATTTTAGATTATAGTATATCATATTATATAGATTTGGTGAAAATCATTTTGTTGTTTATCTTCCACTGTGAGTCCATGGGAATCAAGGTCTAGCTCTTATTGCTGTGGGATTTTTCATGAAGAATGTTTAGATGAAAAGGCTCAGACCTAATGAATTATCAAGTCACAACACTGATGGCTGAATAAGTCGACACAATCAGTGAGAAAGTTTTATTTCTCTGTGTGTGCATCCACCTCCTGCTCTGTTTGCAAAGTTGGGATGTTGAGAAAGATTAGCTTCCACTTTTAGGTTAAATGCATAAGAGAGGGGATAAAGCAGACAAAAGTAAAAGCCATATCCTGCATGTTGAAACAGGTTGGCTGTTTGTTCCCAGGTTCCTATGTGTGTGCACTCAGGCACTAACACATACACGCTAGCTTCAGAAAACTCAAATCATCCTTACTGGAAAAAAGAACTGGGTTTATATCACTTGTAATTTGTCATGGTTTAATTAGAATGTTATGAGTTCAGGATAGAGCAGGGACACTGAGTGCTGTATCCTGTCTATCCATACGCATTAATCTAGCCCAATCCTGCTCTGAGGGAGAGGCTCTATTGTCAGCAGTAAATGCCTTCAGTCAGAGGTGTTAGATTTGATCCCAACAGGGAGGGCTTGGCAGGTTTGCGTGATTGTTGCCTGCTCACTGAAGCTCATCCTCTTGAGTAGATTCCTGGGTGACATTATGTGTCTGCCCACAGAACAAAGATGAGTAAGGAGGAGAAAAGAAGGAGGAAAGGGGACGGCTGGGGCAGTGTTACCCTCTGGCTTGGTACGCTGTCGAGTCTGAGCCTGCAGCTCACAGGTGTGATAGACATTTGGGTCGCACTATATTCTCTCCCCTTTTTTCTGCTTCCTCATTATCCACTCTCCTTTCTCAGTTTTTTTTTATTCCCCCATACACGCACACACAATCATTCTTTCTCACTGTAATTCATGCTGCTCATCTGCAGTGTTTCCAGGAGAGACAAATTAAAAGGGGATTCTCATATCGCTCTGTCACACTTGAGCTGCGGGCCTCATGAATCACAATAAATTCTATTAAGCAGCACTCCTACTGTTTCCCTCCCGCTCCAGATACCACCCATGGGGCCTGCCCCTGTCACTGGTAAACATCTGTGTTTATTTACACAATCACACACCTAACTAACTGATTCCTAAATGTCCTGCCCCTCCTGGAAAAAAAAGTTAATGCTCATTTGCGAAATGTCAGAGCAGCGTCATGATTTTAACCGACAAGACAGAAACAATGTTGCGGTAAATTGCATGTTGCACTTCCTAAGGATTAGCACAGGAGGCCTCTGATATATATATGGTTGGATGTGGGCCAAATATATCCACCCATCATATGCATTTATGCAGCATTACTGCTGTAATCAGACAGGTCTAGGTTCTGTTAAGCTGTTGGCTTCCCAGGGGCAGTCTCAGGACTGAGTTACCTTGAAACCTTCATCACTTTGTTCTTCACACATCCAGGCCCAAAGCATCTGCCTGAATATGGGTGAGGATGATGTAACACCGCTGTTGTTCATTTCAATGACTTTGTGTATCATCAGACAGAGCAGGTAGGCACTTTTCCATGTGCTATGCCTCATCTGGCTTCTCCCCAATGAACCAAGTCATGTGGCTGGTTTCCTAACTAACTATGGATGTGGCATTAGCAGACGGCTGGTGGTTGTTTTGTCCCCCTCCCCATAAGAAGCTCACCTCTGCCCGTATGCATGCACACCAGTATATAAATTGCTGAATCAGTGTCAGTGATAGAGTAATGGCACGGGAGGCATCGTAAATTACAGCGAGCGATCCTGGGGTGCAGACACTGGCTGTCGTGTCTGAGTGAGAGCTGCGCTCCTGAGCTAATGAATACCTTCATCTGGCCCCGGCAGTCAGCAGATTGCCCTGCGTTGATGGATACTGTCAGCCCTTCGCCACACCACATTTCATTGCACAATAAACATGGTTGTCAAAACCAAACAAAGTGAAATCAATTCATCCTGTACAGTGAGTGCATGCTAAATGAAATTAACGTACTGTGAGCTTCGGTGGCAGCAAATGTAGTGTATTATTTCTGAATTCATGATGGCTTTAGGGCCTATACCATCCTGTGATGCAAAAACACACAGCCAAACAGCCAGACAGAAGAAGACATGGCATTCACAGCATCTGAGAATGGGTTTAAAATGTGCTTTGTATTTGTGTAGTAAATATTTCAATTTAGTATTTTTGTGTATGTATGTACAGTAAGTACACACAAACACACATATATATCTGTATCTATAGAAAGAGATATAGATATGCATATTTGGGTTAGCCTGTTGTTTACTTTGGGAGCAGGCTGGTTCATGTATTATTAAAAACAAAGACTAAGCAATGACATTAGGTTTTTTTATAGACATCTTGATTAAGGTATTCATAGATAATAAAAAAATCTGAAAATGTCTCAAGTCAAACTATGATTCATCAATTGGTGAGAATGTGCTTCTTGAAAAGCAAATGACATAAGACTGTGAGAGTCTAGGGCTTTTTAAAATAATTTGTTTAGTTATAGCTGATAGTTGATTTTAACCTCTATTTTAGAGATCTTAACATAACGAAAACGTTTTGTTTTTGTCCCCAAAGCCTAAACATATTTATTTTATACATAATATTACAATTCTTTTAATGTATTTTGAGATTGGATCAGCAAATGTTCGTAATTATTTGACTGTGACTTTTAACTTCCATTTGAAATAACTGTGTGACATTAAGAGCTGAATTCTCTGTGCAGCAACTAGTGCAGTGTCCCAGTGTGAAAATACATTTATCACCAACCTCCCAACTGAAGGCAAGTCTCTGTGGATCATAAATGTGGCTGTTAAATATGAGCTCCTGAAAATCAATTTGAGTGCCTTTGTACTGGGAGACAGTGGTTTCCTAGTGGGAACACATGCTACTCTGAAGTGAACACTCAAACTCTTCGGCGTCTTCGGTGATTAGGGCAGGTTTCTGTGGATTTGGATTCTGCACAGCTCTCCATTACTCATTAAGACTTTGATTTTGTTTATCAACTGAAACAATAATTGAAATCAAACCCCAGGTAACGTGTGCCAGGGTTACTAGTGGAATGATCTAATGAGAGGGCTTCACATGTGGATGATGAAATATGCATGAGTCATCCCAAGCTTTCTTTTCCAGATTTGAGATCATTAAAGATGTATCGTAGCATATGGAAGGCTTTTTTTCTTATTTTTCAAGCCTTGTTTATCAACATGATTTGTTTGTTTAAATATTCATACTGCTTTTATTTAATTCTTTCACATCTTATATATAAAAAGAAGCAAATGCGCATGCAAACAGAAATCATTATCAGTCTGATGTACAGTTTAATACTGAGAGAATCTCTCTTATGCTGATTGTGAATGCCCTGATTGAGAAACAGCACTAGAAAGAGAGTGAAAATGGCACGCTTAAATGTATTTGTGCTCATTGTATATATAGTTCGGAAAAATACTTTATTAAGATTTACCCAACTCTGAGCTGCAACCACTTTTTCAAGAGAAAACTGTGTATAAGAATAAATATACAGCTTAAATCTGAACAGACACAAAATTCAAATGTAATGTATGAAAAGCAATTACAAGTTAAATTGAGTAGTCTTTTAAAATCTTTAAATGAAATGAGAGATTTCAATTTGAAAGTTTTCTACATCTCATTCCATTTCTAGGGAGCATACTATCTAAAACTGGTTCTCCAAAGCCCAGTCTGAACATGAGGTACAGATATTAAAATATCCTGTGACGTGACTGTTTATGAGAGCAGAAAGCAGAGCCTTATAGATGAATAACATGCAATGCAACTTCCTTCTTTCAGTTAAGGAGGACCTTCCCATCTTTTCATATGAAATGCAATGGAAACTGAAGAATTTATCTCTGATGATCAAATGCAGTGTGATACAAAATCAAGAGGCTTTAAAGTGGAGGGAGGGACAGGCATATATATAGCAGAGTGCAAAACGGTCAGACTAGCAAAATAGAAGCAAGACTTGTTTCTATTTAAAAAAAAAAAAAGTCAGACCATTTTGACCTGAAGTTTGCTTGTCAGATATTTCACGTCTCTTGAAAGTTAGTCTAGTGCCCAGACCAGACTGTCAAGTATTTTAAAAGCTCAACTAGTTCAATTTGAGAACCTTGAAGAGTGTGGATAGGGACAGTAGGCTCTGAACGTTCTGGTGTCCTTGAGAATAGCATATGGTTGTCAGAATTGAAAACAAATATACACTGTATATTTGACAAGAAATGCCTGAAATATAGATATTTGTAGATTTGCAAAGGCCAGATTAAGGAAAGAGCATGTGCTGTATAAAATAGTGTTATCATCATAAAATCAAAACTTAAACAAAAACAATATTGTTTATAAAGAATAAAAGAGGACCAAGAATTAACCCTTGTGGGACACCTGTAGCTTTAAAAGGAATTAATTCAGAACCTTCTCAAACTATGGCCTCAGTCATAAAATCATTAAATATACTGTTCATATATTCCTAATAAGGATAGCTTTCTAGCAAAGCATTATAATCAACAGATTATTATTATTTTATTTTTTGCTGGGTTTTTTGCAAACTGCCCTTAAAGAGCACAGTTCCCCTTTAAACTGACAGTGTGCCCACTTTTGTAGCACATACAATTTAAGCCTGTTAAATCAGGTTTTGTACCCAATACAAAGCCTATCTTCTTATCTTCTTAAGGAGTGCCTTTAGTCCTGCACTCATCTGAAACCATGTTCATGATGAGGATAGCAATGATGACAGCAGATGGAGGAGAGTTTTAAAATGGCTTGTCATTTAATCAATGTCTTGCCTCGCTCTCTCTTATTGCTCCTGCTCTGGTTATTCCAGGGTCCAAGGAAGTCAATGGCTCTGCAGATAAACCACAACCCTATTACTGTTGGTCAACAGGAGGCGCTGGATCTAACGAGGCACGAGTCTTCAGGGAATCCAGAGGAAGGAACAGCAACGAGCCTCACATTAAAAGACCGATGAATGCATTCATGGTGTGGGCTAAGGACGAGCGGCGCAAAATCCTCCAGGCCTTTCCTGACATGCACAATTCCAACATAAGCAAGATTTTGGGTAAGACCTTCCACATCAAAATGTAACTAAGTGCAGCAAATATTCAAACACCTTAACAGTTGACATAATAGCTAGTATCTAAAACAAGGGAGGGTACAGTATGTTTCCTCATACGCACTTGTGCATCAGTTCACCTGAGCATACAGATGGATTTACAACCCATCACTATCATAAGTGTTTGTCATGAAAAATGACAGAGGCTAAATGGGTCTTGTCCCCTCAGCACTGGAGTCCATACATCAGAGCTGTTAAAAGTGCTGTCATTCAGTACTTCACAGAGCTGTAGTATTTACTACTCTAGCCTGTTGGTCCTTGATGTTTTAAGCACATCTCTCATCTCAGATTATGTGCATAGGCAGAGCAATCAAGAGGTTTGTGTGGAATGGTCAATAAATCTTAGCATATGATTGACACATGAAAACGTCACCTCTTATTAAGGATAATTCACTGTTATGGTATAATGTGACTTGGTTGTGAATTCCACAAAAAAAAGAACTGCAAAGGCTCTGACTTCGCATTTATATTATCTTATAATTGGTTATATTTTAAACATTCAAATGTCGACTCTTTTTTTCTTGCTTATGTTCAGTTATTGACATCTGAATCTGTTATGTTGTAGGTTCTCGGTGGAAGGCCATGTCTAACCAGGACAAGCAGCCATACTATGAGGAGCAGGCCCGTCTGAGTAAGCTCCATCTAGAAAAATATCCAAACTACAAGTACAAGCCACGGCCTAAGAGGACCTGCATTATTGATGGAAAAAAACTTCGCATTGGCGAGTACAAGCAGATGATGCGTGTACGGCGACAAGAGATGAGGCAGTTCTTTACAGTGGGGTAGGTGCGCCGTCACAGATTTCACAAACTATCCAGACTAAGGCATAGACAACGTTAAATATATCAAATGAACTGTAGCTTTTCTTATTAATTCCTCTTGTACTCATTTTAAGACAAGGCCCTGACATGCACATTAATGGTATTTTCAGTAGCAGCTATTTAATAATTTTAGATAGTCTGCAAATGAAGCATGAATTGTAGACATTATTGCTGAATATAAGATGTAAGTATAGACTTACAGAAGCCTGGAGGGCAGCAGTCAGAAGCTTAACACTTTAATTTACTGTGCGCAGTTATCGGGAGAACCCTTCTCCAGGTGTTCCCATGTCAGTCATAAGCTTCAGTGGCTGGAGTATCAATCATCCAGCACAACAGCAGACAAGAGCAGAACTAACCATGTAGTGGTTTTATGGGACCAATAAACAAGGTAGTGTTTCTGAACAGCTTAAAGCAGGAGCTGTCAGGAGAACCTCTCATTTCCCAAATCATTTTGACAGAGCTGTTGGCTTATAGCAAACCGCTCTGTTGTGTATAAACCCCTAATCTCACCACCTTAGTTTAAATGCTGCAAAATAAAATAAAATAAAATAAAATTTAAATTCTTACCCCCTGAGCAGCACTCATTCCTTCAGCAACATTGGAGGCATTCTTTCCATCTATTCTTATCAATTTATTTAGGTGCTTAAATTTGTATTAAAAGTGAGTCATAACTCTGAGTTTTATCCCTTTCTTCTACATTCAGACAGCCACCACAGATTCCTATCACCACCAGCGCCAGTATGGTCTATCCTGGGACCATCACCATGGCCACCACCACACCCTCACCTCAGATGACGTCAGAGTGCTCGAGTGCTTCAGCGAGTCCTGAGCCATCCATTCCTGTCATTCAGAGCACCTACAACATGAAGCTAGAGCCCAATACAATGGCAAACAACAGTGAGACAGTCAATGGCGAGGATGAGATGGACCTGTACGAGGATTTTGAGGATGAGCCCAAATCAGACTATAGTAGTGAAAATGACACGCAAGAGCCAGTCAGCGCCAACTGAGACCTTTTCAAATAAGAGGCCAATGTAGACACAACACTCATACAGGAGAACGCCCAGTGAGTTGGTCTGATGTGGGAGAAGGAAACAGCAAACAAAAACAAAAACTACACCACAAAGGTTTAAAAATGTTCTTTAAAAAATAACAATGATGTATCATTTAGGAGCCAGCATGCAGATGTGGCTTGATCAGAATCAAAACCTATTTGGTCTTAAGTGTTACTTCAAGTGTGTGAAGCAGTTTGGTTGTGGTAATTTAGATTGTTTTTTGTTTTAGTTTTTTTTTTATCTCATTGTTTGTTTTTTCATTGTGATCATGGACATTTACACAGTGAGGTTATTGCCTAGAACAAAATACAGAACTTGAAGAAATTGAACATTTGATATGAACCTATAATTCTTACAATAAGTTACCTTGTTTTCTTCTTCAATTAGATGATTTTGATATATTACATAACTGTTCACGATGGGAATAATGTTCTCACTCAGGTATAGTGCGCCAGCCAACAGCTTGTGAATGTTTTAAATCAAGAAAAAACTATTACCAGTACAAAATATCTCAAAATTCATATGGAATAATTCCATCTTATTATTATTAATAACAATATTATTATTCGTGTAGTGTTTTTCTTGTTACATCACAAAATTTAGTGGAGAAGTGCCAAACATTTCAAGTTATTTCTAAAATCTGTAAAGTCTTTCGGGAGAGGCTTTGTAAGTCTTAGACAATCTCTTGATCTCTTAATGCAGCTTCATTATCCAGTCTTTCTTTAATTTACTCTTACAAAATAAACAAATGAAACTCAGGAACTTGGAGGCAGCAGGCTCTGCAGGAGGTTACAGGATGTGACATTTTTGGGTGGTAGCTTGTGATGCTAGCTGTTCTCTATGGAGCTCAATGCAGTGATCGTCAGTGAAACCAGCCAGTCCACACAGATCACTGTGGCATCCTCCGCTCACTTCCAGCTCTGCAACCCAGTCTGACTCACCAGAGTGATTGTAATCAGGCCAGAATGCTAAAGGGCCAAAGGCCTCCAATCTGTGGGATTGGTATTGCAGTGAAAGGCAGCTTTGGGGGCATTAGAATCTCAAACTGATGTTGTACAATGTGTAGCTACAGTACATGCTGTTAAATGCTTTAGCCACATTTGGACAGCAAGTTTAAAGTCTTATGTCTTAAAACTTCATGTTTTTTAATCTTTTTTGACATTGTAAATCTTAAACTGCCACTAAGAAGTCTTAAAGCAGAGCATGGTCATCGAGTTGATGTACTGAGATGATTACTGAAGTAGTCTTAAAAGGAGAGATGCCACATGAGGATAGTTCTAAACAGAAAGAACAGGCTAAATCATATGTTTGTTTCTTAAATTACTTGAGCCTGTATTATGGATGTGACAATTAAAATTGAGTTAAAACACAGATGTGCACTTTCATTTAGTGCACTTATATAAATTCTGTAACCTTTTGCCTTATTTTCTTATTTTTAATAATCTTATCAGCTTTTTGGACTGCACTTATATTGTGCATTTAAAGTAGAAAACATGCAGTCATTCTGAAACAAGAAACTCAAAGTCTATCCTAATTTCAGCTCGAAATAGACTTTAGCTAGATAAAGCTCCTCTAGCGGTCAGGTCCTTGATGTTGAGACTTAGATCCTCTTTACAGGGCAGAACGTCTAAATGGCTCCCCTCCCTGCCATGCCTGCTCTTGTCTCTGCCCATGGCAACCTTAGCACCCAGGGGGCGCCATCTGGCTCAGGGCAGGAGAAAACACCAGGGAGGGAAGGGAAACAATAAAAAATGGGGTGTGCGTCCCTTATTGTGCTCTCCATCAAAGTGCTGGAAGTAAGGCCTCAACAGGGCTCCCACCCTGGCCCAATCACCAGGCACTGGCGAGCAGATGGAACAAGTACATCAAGCTGTGGGGGATTATTAAAATGACTGACGACTGGGTATCATCTGAAATACAACATTATTAATGCATGAGTCCAGCTATCCCCCTCCCTTGCCCTTGAACCTGTCCATTTCAGCTTTTTGAAGGATCTAAATGGCTGGTCACTGTACTGAAGTGGTCAAGTTCCCCACTGCTGGTCACTGCATTTTGCTCCTAGCTCTAATTGGTACAGATGGCTCTTTGTATCTCTTTAGCACTGTTATCTTCTGTACGCTTAATGTCAATACCCGTTCAGTGCTGGCTTACAATTTTTCATCTTTTTTGGAAGCATTTATATTGTTTTGTAGGTTTTTTTTTGTCTTACCACAACATCAATAATTCCTTTTTTCGTGACATCTTTTCTACATTGTTCATATTTTGAGGAACAAAACATTTTAGGGATGCTCTCCTGCAAAAAAAAAAAAAAAAAAAGAAAAGGATTTCCCTCCAAATCAACCTGTTTCGTATTTTTAAGCTGTTTGCTCCTGTTTGCTGGTGGTTCGATTGATTTGTATGTGATTGTAAATATTTTCATGACCATGCCACACCGATTTAGTTGGCTGGTAGTTAAAAAGGACTCTTCGCGGGACTGAAACTTGACTGTGCTAATACAGCAAAAAAAAAGACAAAAAATAAAAGATAAATGACAACAAGAACTCACAAGGAGACGATGTTTCATGAGTGTTATAAGCACTGGATATAAATTGTATTTTTATCGGTTCTGATTAATGTGAAGCTGTTTGAGGAAACACACCATGAATGAACAAGATCCCTCAGTTGGACTCAAGTGGGTTTGCTTTCTCACAGTTACCAGATTTTAGTCATTTTTTTGTCTACTTATTTTATTTATGCAAAGACACAAATGATAAATGAACACTTTCTTTAAGCTTCAGGGCTGCCTTGGGGAGATACTCAGCACAAGAAAATGAGCAGAAAATTCAACAGCAGACTTGGTTAGGGGTGAAACACCAGACGTCAGACTTCAGTGTATTGTACATTGTATGTGAAACTGTAGAGTATCAACATACTGTATTTATTATTAGCCACCGCTGGCCCTAAAATTGTCAGAAAAACAACATGGACAATCAGAAAAAATGAAAAAAAGTTTGATAAATTTGAGCTAAAAATGGTTTTCCGTGAATTCACCATCTCTTTTAGACTCTATTGTAAATATAACATAGGAAATATATTTTTGTTCATTAGTAAGGTATAAGTTATGTATTTGGCTGTTCTATTTTATTTTCTTTCATGTTTTGTAATTTTGTATGTAGTTTTGTGTTTTTAAAACCCGACAAGTCACTGTACCTCATGTAGATGCTGGTTTTTTCTGCTTATTGGAAGAGAGCCCCTGAGACAGAGAGAAGCGCCTCACCTACAGTACTAACGTTTTGATAATCTTCTCCAGGTTAGTCAAAGAACCAATCAAAGTAAAAAAAAACAAAAAACAAACTCTACTTATTGTTAGGGTCATTTCAAGTAAGGTACTCATTTCAACAGCAAGCACTTGATGTAAAATAATTATTCAGTAATTTGTTTCCAATCATTATACAATCTATGTATTACGTTGTACATGCTCACTTGTGTTCATTACAGCACTCGTAGTATGTGGCGAGTTTCTGATGAGGAGCTGAAATGATCCTAAAATCTCTGCATCCATTTGGCATGCATTTACATTATCATAATAAAAAAGTGTTTATGAGTCATCTTTTCAAACAAAAGTGATTTTTTTAAGTTGAATGCGTGCAAATATTTTTTTTAATGTGGCAAAATGGACGGACATGGTGTGCTCTTAAATAATTTTCTCTTTGCCATCTTTTTTTATGTTGTTGATTTTTAATGAATACTGTATGTTCATGACTATCCAGCCATCTGCAAAAGTAGCCCACACAACTGTTTTCTCCTAATCTACGTGTTAGATATGCAAATGGTTTGAATGAACCGAGGACAAAAGCTTGTATGCTGGTTCAACATTACTTACTGTAGTTTGATTTGTTTTTCTGTCTGAACTTTGTGATGTATATGGTAGGAATGTTCTCTGTGTTAATTTAATCAGCACAATTCACTGACATGCTGGACTAAAATGCTAGCTGCTGTTCAGAAATATAAAATTTGTTGTTCAGGGCAACATTTATAGTTGTCTTGGGTACTTTGCTTTTTAGAGCTGTCTGTCAAGCAACACTGTGTGTGGCTCTTCTATCACTGGAGCCGTTGTTTTGAAATTGCTGGCAGCCTGATACAATTTCTGCATAGTAATCTTTTTTTTTCTGGCAGGTACCTAGACTAATGGCAAGAATTGTTCGGGTGTTATTAAAGAAAATGAACTACATAGTGTCTGTTGCTGCTTTTAAAAAAGTTTATGTCTGAATATGTAAATAGTTTATCATAATATCTTGTACAGTCCAATGTAAAGTTTTTAATTCAGCTTAAAATGTTGCCATCACATTTGTGTTCACATTCTTCTTTATACAATACAAAAGGTCAATTATTTGCTAGGGGTTTATTGCTAGGTTTATTGCTAAAAAAAAGAAAAAAAAGAAACTGTTACTAATTTTATTATGTTTGTTTTGTTTTGCTTGGCTTCAAAGTGTACACCAGCAAGTCTTTGGTTTCCATGTGCAGTATTGACGTGAGGTAAACTTAAGGTGAATAATTTTACAGTGGTGTGTGTGGAGAGCACTCTCCTCAGCTTTGGTAGTATTAATACAACATGTCAAGTAAAAACAAACCAATGAGAGACACGTTTCAGTGCATCTTGGCACTACAGAAATGTGCATACTGTATATGATAAATTATCCCCACAGGATCAGTTCAGGCATATTATGATGTAACATAATTTCCTGTATGTCCCAGTCCATTGCAACAATGCAACAATGGGCTGAATAACTGCCTGTTTAAGCTCATTTACCTCAATAATTTCTTCCCTTTCTGTAAAAGAGACAGATATTGTGTTACAGAAAGCTTCTCACATCACTCCATCTTTTGTACTGCTGTTGACACTTACAAATTAAAGAGACATTTTGTTTTAAGATTGGAGTAATCATTTTCTTGTAGCGCCATTCATTGTATTATATCCACTAGTTTAGGTGCTTGTCTAAGAAAATCAACATAAGAAAACAGAGGGGTTGGAAAGGTATTAATAAAAAGGCATTGGTGTATTTTAATCTGTTCTGAAGTTTACCCATCACACACTGTAAATTGGCCTGCACAATGAAGACAAAGTCATTTTGCTAGCTGAGAATTTGCTGTATATTCATTTAGCGCTTTTATTGACATAGAGGGACAGGGACATAAAAAACAGAACAACAAAGAAAGAAAGCTATTACTAGCATAATATAAACAGCAAAATGCTAAAATAATTAGGCTGCTAAAAGCCTACAGTATATTGTTCAGTATTGTGCATCTTTACTTTTATTTAACGTTATCAACTTAGTAATTACTATTAGTAATTTAGTTACACTTTGATGTCATTTCTGACATCAGTGGATGTCAAAAGACCTAGAAGTAGCTTTTGAGTGACATTCAGTTTTGTCAGTCGATGAGAGGAAGAAGCCTGAGCTTCAGTAGTAGAGGTGTCCAGACCAAAAATGATGATGGGTTAACAAACAAATCAAGGAGCATTCTGCTTCAGCAAAAACACTGCACAGTGGTTTATAACACAGTGAAAAAGGATTTTGTAACTGTGAAGAGTTATCATAGCAAAAATCATCATTGCAACAATTGTTAGGTAAACAGAAGCATTAACAATTTACTTTACAGAGGATCCTCTCTGGGATATAGGAATAATCCACCTATTACTAATTGCTCTAGACATGATAATAGATAGCTACAGTACTAAACTGAATGTCTAGATTCTCACTGCTTTCACCTGCTCCCTCCCAGCTAAACATCTGTCTTCAAAGGGAAGACAAGTTGTTCTGTATTCTAATGGTACATGCCAGGCACAGACATCAAGCCACATTTTTTTCCTCCTAATATAATCAGATTTCATTTATATACAACGAGCTGGATGGAAAGCTTTGGCGGGGTAGAAGTGGTTCCCGGACGCCAGTTGACGATCAGTGTCTTACAGACATGCTCATACACAAATACAAAACAAAACCCTATAAGGTGGCAGAGTAAATTTAGTCTGGGCAGTTTAATCTGGAAACCATCTGGATATTGCTTTAGAAAGGCCAAAATGAGCAGTCTAGCAGATTCAATTCAAAAGGGGCATTTACTCACGAGCCAATCACCATAACTCTGTACGAATTCATATCCTGAGGATCCTTGACCTCTTGAAAACAGACATTCAGAGGCTGGGTGTGTGTGTGTGTGTGTGTGTGTGTGTGTGTATGTGTGTGTGCCAGAGCCAGAGGTCATACTGAGAGTTATATGCCCAGACTATGTCCATCATTCTTTTCTGGAGCTTTGCCATCTATTGCTCATTATCGTCAGAATTATTATGAGTTCTACATCCTGGTTCCTTTTTAAATAATGTCTTTCTGAATACAGTGGGTAAAACATTTCAAATACAATTTGAATCTGTGTTATTACAAGACCGCTAACACTTTACTGATTTACTGTTCCTCTCACTCTTTGTTGGCCTCTACAAAAAAGGTAATCAAAAAATACTGTTGAGGAAACGTGATGAAACTGTTTTATTTGTTGTCCTCGTCAATCACTTTGTCTTTTACCACTGGATTATATGCCGCCTTCCCAATAGCATACGAAAGCTACAGTTTAACTGCAGTCTCTGTAATAGATGTCTGTGTAAACACTCTCCAGCAGTAGATGGAAAACTAGACATATACCTCTGCACAATAAATCTTATAGTAATTTTCCAAGTCTGTAGGACAACTAATGGTTCTGTGCTTTCTGTATTTGTCTTTGTATTGGCTGTGCAACATTATAATACTGCTGAGCTGGTGATATGAAAGTGAGACTTTTAAAAATAACAATCTTTTAAAGCTGTTTTGCTTTGCACTGTACCCATAGATTACAGTGTGAACTAAATAAGACATTTGGGGAAATGATTACAAGCCTGGTGAGCTATGGGGAGTAATACTGCTGTTTGTAAGTGGCCTGTTTGGATGAACTGTCACTGTTGTACAGAGATGTGTATGTTTGAATAGCGGACAGTAATTAATACAGCAATGCTGTCGTGTAGCAGCAGGACTGCTATTTCACAACTCCGATGACTAAACACCAGAATGAAGGGGAGCGGTGAAGGGCGTCTGGAACAATATTTTACTCATTTGGATCTGCTCAAAGCTACAGTCGCTGCACCCAGTGAATCTGTCAGACAGCACCATTTCCCTAAGAACAGCTGCTATTTATCTGATTTTCTCATTAGGGTTGACTCATGACTTTATTGTACTGGCTTTGGCAGAGGTACTCTATCGCCTAGGTATGGAGGCTCTTTAAAACAGCTGAGACCTGGACTCCGTAATGTTACTTGTTTATGTACTTTCTTATTTTCTGCCTTAAGTCAAAATATTATTTTTTTCTATCCTTATCTGTATCCACACTGGTAGAAACACCTATCAACCAAATGTTTAATATTCTTTAGATGTGACTTTCAGCTTATTTCCATCTATATCTAGCAGAGGTGAAAGAAGTTGGGATTGATCTCAAGAGCCATCAAACATGTATACAAGAACAGTATGTAAGAACAGCTCAGACGCTTAGCAATGTTTTAATCCTTGGAGGTGAAGGACTTAGGAAATCTTGCTAATTTCACAGATGGTTTAAAATAGATTAGTGTGGAGGAGCCGCTCCCAGAGAAGGGCTGACCCACCAGGCTCCCAGTGCAGCTGCCAAAACCCTGCGCCTGATGCTCAGAAGTGCCTTCCAAAAGTCCTGCAAGGTTAAAGTCAAACTTAAGGATCCTGAAATGCCATTCTTCTTGTTGGCTTTACTGCATCTTCAGTGAACTTCACCGACCTTTTATTCAAAGTTTAGAACAGTTAGTTTGCTGTGAAATTTCTATTGATATTTTTATTCCTTACTTTTTACAGACATTTAAGCCTCTTTTCAGTTTTTAAAATCACTTTTGTTTTCATGGTTTTCAGATAAAAATCAGAAGCCTTTGTCAAGCTAATCAGTTGCCTAGTTTTTATTCTTGTTTTTTTTTATGTTCATTAAGCTTACTTCCTATTCTTTGCTAAACAATACCCTGAAACACAAAGGATTTTACTTTGAAATTCATCTGTTCACTTGGCCACAGACACTATTCTTACTTGTTACTAAGTGTTCTTTCTCATTAGACATTTTGTACAATGCATCCAAGAACCATTTTTGTAATGGAATAAAAGAGTGAATCAGACTCTGCATGGTATTTTGAATAGGCCAAGCCGGCTGCAAGAGCTGGGCTGTGTCCGAGTAGGCCTGACACAACTCTGGCCTGGCTGAAAAGGCCCAGCTTGGAGTTAATGTGGAAAGACAATGGCACAGGGTGAAAAACTCGACATGGTTTTGTTGGACTTGTCATTCTTTGGTGCATAGCTGTGAGGAAAGCCTAGGAACCATCTGAATGTTATTTGTGTTTTTTTTTTTACCCATATTTGAGAAAGCTTTCACAAAGCCTGTGAGAAGATTTAAACAATGGAGAGGCTCTTTCAGAAAAGGAACAGTCCTTGACTTTGGCCAAACCATCTTGGACATGCTTCACTGAAATGGTCTGTCTCCAAAAGGCTAACATCACATCACAGCTTTGGCTGGTTTTAACTGTCCTGTAAAATGCATAACAATGATGACCAATCATAATAGTGATTCTTGTTAAAATATTATTTTAAGCATAAGACCAATCCATCCATTATCTATACTGCTGATTCCTGAACAGGGCTGCAGGGATGCTGGAGCTAATACCAGCTGATATTGGACAAGAGGCAGGGTCCACCTTGTGTAGATCACCAGTCCATCACAGGGCTTAACAAAGACAAGACAACAGTTGGATGTAATGTCTACTATAGATCACGCCCTTTTTAAATATGGGTGAAAACAGTAACATACATATATATGTACTGTATATGTAATGCAAATTTAAAAAACATATATGTTATGCATTACTTTGTCTAGAAGCCATGGCATAGTTCCTTGCTGAGCTGAGATGATACTGAAAATGTATTTCTTTGTAAATCAATCAGATTTTCTGAGCACAGTTGTTAGGAACCTGCGTTGCTAAATGAACTTTTGAAAATTCACATGGGACAATATTTCAGAAAATGTTATTTTGCATACTGTTTCACATCATTGCATCTCCTGCATTTGTCTCCCAAAGCATTTGACTGCACTTCTGTGGGGAAGAATAAATGTGTAATGTTTTTATTAAAGCATCTCTGCCTCTCAGCTTCAGAATTTAACAAAATAAAGGTTTCTTTCTTGGAATATGTGTTATTCTCTCAAAACTATCACTCAGCTCTCTCATGCATATGTGAATTACACACCTTTATGAATATGTAAATGTTGCGAGAATGCCTCATTAATTAGTAATTCATGCATTTTTCACAAGCCCAATACTCTACCAGTGTAGTCTGATGAATTATCAGTCAGAAGTTTAAAAAAAAGATTCATCATCACATTTTCAGAGGTTTTGAGCTACATCTGTAATGTGTGTAATTCAATGAATATGATTTGCGTAGCTTTTCATGGCAGTATCGTTGCAGCTGTCTCATAATATGATTTATAGATTTCTACTTGGAACCTGCAAATGCACTTATAATGTTATCATTCATATTTTGCCATGTAGATGTTTGTCTACAGTATTATACTGTGGTTCAAAAATTAGAAAGAAAGCATGTTCTATATATATAAAAAACATCTCATTTAACACATACTGAAGTCAGCCTGCACACCTTATTGAAGCATTTTGTCCATGTGCTCACAGGTTTTGGTTGTTTTTCTCCCTCCAGTAAAAAGTTACAGTATGAAAATGTTACCGTATGTCTATATGTTGTCTATATACCAGCACACGGCTGGACCATGAATTTAACAAGGAGGTATATATGTGCAGAAGCACCTTGGGATGTTGGCTTTGCTGTTGGGGATT